TGTACACACACTGTATAAATTACATAATCTACAGTAAACGAATACAATAAGTGCCCATTGTAAATATTCATCCATAAATTCAAAGTGTTTACATAAAAAATATACCACACTTATAGTTAATAATTCAATATATCTAAAACAAAAAGTAATTTCTAAACATTGCTATCACTACCAAACTTTTCATTCGTGTTGTCCGATCTAGATTTGTGTTCTTCTCCTTCTGAAGATGACGAATAAGATCTCGTCCTACTTACTGGTACTACCTTGTTTCCTTTAGACCCGGGCTTTTCCTTCGTGTCGTTCCCTGAGGTAAAGTTGTCTTTTTTTAGTCGAACAGCATCTTTTACAATGTTCCTAAATCTTGACCCTGTCCCTACTGTTTTATGTTTACTAAAATTATTCCATTTGTCCATCACTTTTTGTGCTACTTGTTTGTTTTTAGCGTACAATGAACCCGTAAGATCCTTTAATGGTGCCTTCTCCCAATTTGCTTTCACAACGTCTTGCAGATTCTTGAACTTTCTACCACCACGCACTTGTGCAAGCGACTTATTCACGTTCATGAACTTTCTATCTTTGTCGGTATATGTCGTTGATAACGGCGCAACAGGAACTATCGTTGGCTGGATCAAAAAGTCAGCAAGTCTCGAGTTCGTTTCACCCGTGTGAGTGACATCACTCTCCCAGATTTCGGTCGTTGCACAGATATGAACTAGCGTTGAAAATCTGTGATACAACATACAAACAAACTGAAGCAGCAACAACATGCCAAAGACGGCTGTGAAAAGTATTGCAATTGGAACCAGTTGGATTGTACCTCCACTACAATCAATCTCTATGGCCAAGGAATCTCTGAAAGCGTTTACTTGAGTTAATCCGAACATCACTGTAACGAGAATTGCGTTAAGTAGATAGACGAACAAGCATGCTCTGTTTCTTAAATCAATTAATTCTAGTTCTACTTCCTCCTTCTTCTTAGAGTCTTCATGTATGGGTTTTAAGTATTTCTTTATATACTTCTTCCAAAACTTTCGTTCTTCTTTTGAAATCATTTGAACAGATTGGTCTGCCCTTACTTCCCACACATCTTCAATATTTGTTTTTTCTTTCTCAGGTTGTCGTTCATTATCGATGTCTGACTGTCTGACCTGCACTGCTTGGTCAACTGTAAAGTTAATATATTAATTATTAGCGTTTTCATATAATGTAAATCATGGAAACTATGAATAAAAGATGGGAAGGTACCAAAGAAAAAATCTCTGCAAAAAAAAAAAAAAAACTAATTCATAAAAAAACTAAAAACTGAGCAACATGAAATAAACAAAATCTTATTGAAATATAGTTATGTATCCATGCTTTTCACACAAGGATCTGACAACGCTTACAAGGATCTGACATGGCTTTCAAGAATCTGACAACGTTTACAAGAACCTGACAACGTTTACAAGGATCTGACAACGTTTACAAGGATCTGACAATGTTTACAAGGATCTGACAACGTTTACAAGGATCTGACAATGTTTATAAGGATCTAACATGGCTTTCAAGAATCTGACAACGTTTACAAGGATCTGACATGGCTTTCAAGAATCTGACAACGTTTACAAGGATCTGACAACGTTTACAAGGATCTGCCAATGTTTACAAGGATCTAACATGGCTTTCAAGAATCTGACAACGTTTACAAGGATCTGGCAACGTTTACAAGAATCTTGACAACGTGTATACGGATCTGACAACGCTGATAAAGATATGACAACATTTTTAAGGTTCTGACAACGCTTTGAAGGTTCTGACAACACTTTCAAGAATCCATGGGTGGGGGGAACGTCATGTCATAGGTTGAATTTCCAATCAAAACGTTTTGATACATTCCCCGTTGCCATTCTCAATTCTTATTATCTTATGTGTGTATGTGTGTGTGTGTGTGTGTGTGCTGGGGGGGGGGGGGGTAACTACTCATCTAAACAAATACGTTGATGAAAATACAAACATTACATTATCTTCATAGAAATGAATGAATGCTGATTTTGTTTTATAAATCAAATCATCTATTCCACTGTTGGTCCAGGCCTTTTTGTCTTAAATATTCGAGTAAGATTATCGTAGTCAGAATCAGACTTCAACCAATCAATATACTGGATTTGGTGTTTCGATCACAAATGTACTCCCTGTGCTTAGATATGTTTTATGACCGTCAGTCCAGGTTTTCGGTCTTAGTTTAGTGTTAACAAGTGCTTAGATATGTTTTATGACCGTCAGCCCAGGTTTTCGGTCTTAGTTTAGTATTAACAAGTGCTTAGATATGTTTTATGACCGTCAGCCCAGGTTTTCGGTCTTAGTTTAGTATTAACAAGTGCTTAGATAAGTTAAATGACCGTGAGCCCAGGTTTTCGGTCTTAGTTTAGTATTAACAAGTGCTTAGATAAGTTAAATGACCGTGAGCCCAGGTTTTCGGTCTTAGTTTAGTATTAACAAGCTGATTTATTTCTTGCGAACTTAATCGTTATATCGGTACATTGTATCTAAATACTGAACCGACACTGAAGATCTTGACCGTTACCGACTTTTAGAATCACACAATTTCTCCCCTGATACTGTATTTTTAAAATACCGAATGTTTATTACATGACGTAAAAATATTACAGTTTCCTTGATACCGTAAATATTGTGTAATGCTCTATTTAAGTGATATTGATCAATGGAAAAGGTCTGATAATAATTTGAATAATCCTGATATGATGAGTTTATTAACAACCACTGGTTCGATGCCACTAATGGTGGATGTGTATCACCTGCCTAGTAGTAGGAACATCTGTGTTGACATGATTATCATTGATATGGTCATAATTATAAATTATCTGCTTAAAAATCTTTGAAGTTTTCGAGATATTAAGGTTTGTCTACCACAGGATAGATTACCTAAGATGTATTTGGCAAAACATTTCGGAATTTTGGTCCTATATGCTTTTCAACTTCGTACTTTATTTGGCCTTTTAAACTTTTTTGACTCGAGCATCACTGATGAGTCTTTTGTATATAGACAAAACCCGCGTCTGGCGTACACATTTTAAATCCTGGTACATGTATCTACATGTATGATGAGTTTATTTACAACCACTGGGTCGATGCCACTGATGGTGGAGGTTTCACCAGCCCTGTAGTCAGCACTTTTGAGTTTATATGAACTATCATTGATATGGTCATAGTTATAAATTAACTGTAAACAAAACTTTGAATTTTCGATTTCTTTTAATCGAGCAGCACTTATGTCTTTTGTAGACAAAACCAGCGTCTGGCGTACACATTTGTAATGGTGGTATCTATAATGAGTTTATTGACTGTAAGTTATTTACAAAGTGTTAACCAAAGTCCATGTTTACACTTTCAATTCATCATAGTTTGATAGAACTTGTTTTAATAGCACCTCAAATAATAGTTTATCATAACTGTTTGGCAAAACCTTTGATTCATAATGAAAATTTCTGATAAGCATACATTAAATATTCTAATGGTTTAAATTCAAGGCGGTTGAATTGGTGTCAATTCTTTAGATTGATTGACAATATACGGTACTGTTGCAGTTATGAATTTGTCATTGTTCTGAAGCAAAATGCCTGGCGGCAATAATACAGTACGTATGGAGGTCTCTTGGCTTTTATTAGATGTTGTCTAGTGTTGCTAAGAAGCTATGTTTGCTTGCATTCCGATACTATTGTGTAAACTAATGCTCTTGTTTTTTTTTTCTAAGTGTCTTTTGTTATTTAACAAGATACGATAATGGATTGAGATAGTTTAATGCTCTCGCAGGGCTGGTGTGGCTCGTTATATTCAGACTAATCTCACCTTCGATTTGGACCGCATAACCGTTTGTTGTTTTTTCTAAAAGGTCGTTTTGTTCATTAAGGAGTTTTGTCTTGATATGTATGCTTTACTGAATTATTGTGTTACTGATGCTATTATTGCAAACCAACAATTTCTAGATCGCTATATGTATTTATTTGAACTTAAGGTGGTACCCAACACCTTGACTAATATTAATTTGGCTCGTTTAATTTTCAAAAAATTTTGACAAAATGTTTACTTTGACCCTTTGACAAAAATATAAAAATTTCAAAAAATTTGAACCAACCACTTTATCAGAAAAATTTCATTGGTTATATAGCAGTTTGACTAACACTAATTTTGATCATTAAGAAGCTTAATATTTCCTTAACAATACAACGTAATTAAAACGTTTAGCTGATTTTTACAGAGTTATCTCCCTGTAGTGTTAGGTACCACCTTAAGGAGGTGTGAGGTATACGTCAATGAGACAAAAACCAACGAAAAAATTAACCAGAAGGGATCGAGAGTACTATATACATGCATCAACATAACCTTTAATTTCTGAATTTATGGTTTAAGTTTTGTTCATTGTTGAAGGCCGCGTTGTGACCAATCGTTAATTGCATCCACGTCAGTATATTTGTCTCAATACTTGTATCAACACTTAACGTCATTTTCAATATGGCGGTGCGGGTCAAAAGGTCATAGGGGAAAACTTCCGTATCCATTGTAAACAATATGGCCGCCGTGATAACGTTGAAAGAAAGATGTGAAGTTCTGAACTTAATTTGATACATTTTTACACGATTTTTATATACTTTACCTTTTATATATTTGACATTTGATACGATATTACCTTTTATAATGGATACTACTGACCAAAACACTTCTTTAGATGATTTTTTAACCTGGAAAGTAAGTGCTTTGCGCGACTTCTTGACAAAGAGAGGTATGACGAAAGATGGTACAAAAAGTGAATTGGCGGCTCTTTGCTATTCGGCGTCTGTTTTAAAAATTGCAGTCATTCCAACTTCTTTTGAAATTATCAAAACCAATAAACTAGACTATCAGAACTTGCTAAAAATAAACGGCCAAGCTTTACCAGATCCACTACAGATTCATAATAACTGGTTAGATGAGAAAAATGGTATGAAAAAATTTCCACCAGTCTACATATCTGACATTGTAAAGTACTTAAGCGAAAAAAATACATCTGGTAAAATGAAGGAGATTCTCCAAGACTATAAAATTGGCAAGGCTTATGAATATTTTAAAAATGGATTCTTGCAACAAATATTCTATCATGACATTGATGCAAGATCCAAGAACTGTTTTCTAAGAGCAAAATGTGTGCCTTCACAAAAAATAAAAGAAGAAGAACATGATGTCTGGGTGTGTGTTGAGAAAGCAACAGGAGAAATTGGATCCTCATACTGCACATGCACAGCAGGGTAAGACTTCATGTTATTTAATATAAAATGTATAGTAAAGTTCCTTGAATTATATGCATAGATGAGGGTGTGGATGGGTTTAACATAATACATAATAATGGAGAAAAAATAAGAATAGTGAAAAATGTGCAAAGTAATTAAGAACAGAAAAATCTCAGAATAATGGGATGTTAAATATATAAAAAATAACTACAAAAATAAATGAAATGGGCAAACATATAATAATTATAGAAAAAAACAAGTCCAAAATACAGTCATCAAGTAATAAATGTAATTACAGAATAGCCATTCTTTTAAAGATGAAGACAAATGTAAAATTAAGAATACAGAAATGAAAGATCCCCATCCATAACCTCATAGATTTGCAATGTACTGTAAAGCCTTCCATTTTAATGTAATAGCAATTAATAAGCTGTAAAAGGTTGGGACCAATCTCCAAAATGGGTTAAACTATCCCATTCGAGATATAATACCTCAATTGAAACATAAATGTATGAAAAATTAATGTGCCAAAACAAATTAGGGGAAATGTTTTAAAAAAATGATTGTTAAATTAATTTTTTTTTTAAAGAAAAGCAAGATTTGAAGTACAGTAAATTTATATCCCATTTGGGAGATTGTCCCCAACCTTTGTCATGTTTGTTATGGGAAATGTTTAATTAGAAAACCTCAAATTCACATGTTCATGAAATGGTATATCATTTTTTATCTTTCTTGTAAAATGTTCCTTGCTAATCATATCCATTGTCACGGCTGTAAAAACCTACATGGTATAAAACTAACCATGCTAACTGTTGGTTGACATGTTTATTTCTATGTTTGCACATTTATCTTGCAGTTCTTTATTAATTTAAAACTAATAACTGTTTTGTCAATATAAGTTTTCATGCTGATCGACTTGCATCATTTGCTGTAGATTTACTGGGTATTGAACAAGATCATTTATTAGTTGTATTTTTTTTCAGTTTGGGAAGAACATGTAATCATGTCGCTGGACTCCTTTTCCGAGTTGAGGCTGCAAACAAACTAGGTGCATCTGCATGTACTTCCCTCCCCTGCACATGGAAAGTACCGTCAAGAATAAAGGGAGTGAAGCCAACTAAAATTAAAGATTTGAGAATCTTCAAGTCAAGACATGGACAATCAGGTATGTTTTTTTATTACCAAGCACGAGAAAAATTCTATATAATTTGGCTACAATTTTTGTAATAACTACTATTCATGTACATCTGATCAATTATTTCAAAGGTTGTGTACATTTTAGATGATTTTAAATAGAATTTAGTATCAAAAAGTCATTACATACAGGGGCGGATCCAGCCATTTATAAAAGGGGAGGGGAAGGGGGGGGGGTGTACCTATCCCAGGATAAAGGGGGGGGGGGTTCCAACTATATGTCCCCATTCAAATGCATTGGTTGTTAAAAAAAAGGGGGTTTCCCCCCCCCCCCCCCCCCTTGGATCCGCCACTGACATACATACCATTTATAATTTTTGATATTTTATTAGCCACACTATATATGTTTTTATTTCCATACTGCTGTACCAATCCTTGTCATGGATTTTACCATGGAAACTAGACTCGAACTAACAAAGCAAATAATGAGATATATTATAAAAATAAGATGTGGTAAGATTGTCAATCAGACAACTCTCCACAAGAGACCAAATGACACAGAAATTAACATGTAAATTAATAAGTCTATCACATTAATGATAACGTCAACAAGTAGGAAATATATGTCACGAGTTTGTGTTTTGATACACTAGATATTCTTTTTATACATTATTCCAGTATGTGAAACAACAACAAAATATGATCACAAGAGTAGTCTATATTCATGTTCATTGATCAAAGGGGGATAAGTCATTAATTCTTTCGGTTTTATTTTAGATAGTAAAAGACCTTTAGTTTGCCAGTCCAAGTTGCAGTACCAGCCCATACCTGAAAGTAGAGACAACCTGGACACTTTTTCAGCAGTACTCAAGAAGTCTATCCCAAATGCTTGTATTTTCAAAGGTACATATAAATACAATGTTATAATAATAAAATAAACTTGAAGAACCTCAATTGTTTTAAGTTTTTATTGTTTTATTGTTTTAATTTTCTCATAGAGCTTTTTTGCTAGTTTTTTTATTTGTTTGTTTATGTCGTATGAATGCAGTTTATAATAACATGATAAAATTTGATCTCGTGATAAATCTAAATTTACAAGAATAAGTCATTTGAGATGAATAACTTGGACTACAAATATTTTTTTTTTAACAAGAACAGTTGAAAATCAAGTCACAACATATTAACTAGTTTTAAAACTTTTTTCATTGTTTTTCTTGAAAATCTAAAATGATGAATATACCTTTAGTTCTAATCTCAGATGTTATGATTTGTTTAGTTTGGGGCTTTTTTGTTATTATTGGTTCCAATCTCTACAAAAACTCTAAAAAGGATATGTCTTTGAAAACAATTTGTTCAAGACACAGCCTAAAATTCTTATTAAAAATGAGGAAATTTCAAAACCCTCCCCACAAAAAAAGCCATTCCCCAAGTCAAAATCAATGCACTTAAATATGTTGTTTAAAATATTCTTTCAGGTTTTGTCACAGAAAGTGTAGAAGAAACAGTAACCAAACCAGTTAGTGAAGACATCACAGCCTACACAATACAAGACATTAAAACAAAATGTAACAACCAAACTGACTTTTTAAGCAACATGCCAAAGTATACTCAGAGTGAAATTCAAAAAGTAATGCGTTCTACGGTTGGTCAGTGCAGCAATGAAAAATGGCATGAAATAAGATCGGGTCGTCTGACATCATCGAATTTCTACGAAATACATACAAAAGTGCAGAGTTATAAGAAAAAAGAGGGTGTTACTTTTGATCCATTAATTTCACGACTCATGGGATACAAAAAGTTAAATCCTAACATAAGGTCTCTTAAGCATGGGCGAGAAATGGAACCAGAAGCCAAATCGTGTTACCTTGTGGGTATGAAGAAAGCAGGCCACACAGATGTTATTATTACAGAATGTGGAATATTTCTTGATAATGACATGACTTATCTTGGGGCTAGCCCTGATTTACTCGTTGATTGTGCTTGTTGTGGCTCAGGTGTTGTTGAAATTAAATGTCCTCTTGTTCCAAAATGTGGCAAATGTACAACATTTTGCAGTTGTTCTATTCCAGACTATTTGTATGTTGATGGAACTAAGTACAGTTTAAAAAAAAAACACAAATATTATGGCCAAATTCAAGGCCAGTTAGCAATAACTGGAAGGAAATATTGTGACTTTTTTATATATACATGTAATGGAACATTTTGTCAGAGAATTGTTTTTGACAAACCTTATTATGAGGAAATTGTTGATAGTTTAAAATTATTTTTTGAAAAATATTTTGTTCCTGAACTATTTTCTGGTGAACTTAAAATGCAAACTGCTTCAAATCTACAGGAGGTGTGTACCAGGAACAACAGCAGTCCTATAGAGGACCAAATGGAGTTTGAAACAACATATTTTTGTCCATCATGTAATCACATTGTGAAAAACTCTGAAAATGTTGAAAATTTTATTGATCATAGTATTTGCTGTGATATTTGTGACTTGTGGTATCATTTCAGATGTGTAAATGTAACAAAAAAGGTAGCATCAAAGTTACAGCAGTGGGTTTGCAAAAAATGCACTCAAAGTAATTAAATATAATTTGTCATACAGAATGCATGATGTACATGTACAAATAATTGAAACTTTAATTTTTAGAAGAATGCAGTTACTATATATGCATTATCAAATAATTTTACCTGAATATGTACCTGTAGAAAAGATTTAATTTTCATATATAAATTATGCTATACTTTATAAAAATAAGGAGATGTGGTATTGTTTAGCTCCAATAGATTGCAAATGAGACAACGTTCCACCAGAGTTCAAATGAAGTGAATATATTAGTAGTAATAGGCAACTGTGTGGCCTTCAATGATGAGTAAACCCCATACCCTTTAGTCAGTGGTAAAAGACAATGACATGAAAAATGTGAAACAAATGAAAACTAACAACAAAACCTTAATTGTGATTATTTTTCACAATTTTTGGATCACAATCAAAATTATGTCTCATACTTTGGAAGAGGGGGGTACATGTTGCATATTCCTGCAATTGTTTTAAAAATACTATCCAAATGTTGCATGAGAGTAAGCGGCACTTCATACTTCAGTATTCTAAAGTATTTCATTCTTCGTATAGCTTGCTCAATATGAATTCTACGATTAGCAATTTCTTTTGTTTGTTGGACTTCATTTGTTGACATTTGTGTAACACCTCTACGACCTGGTGGAATAAACAGTTGTGCTCTTACCAAAGCTAATTCTTCCCTTATGGTGAAGCCACGATCAGCCATTACACAGTCATATGGTTCAAGAATGTCTAAAAAACCAGAATTGTTAGTAATATATTTATCACTGCATCTACCACCAAAACCCTCTGAAACATAATTAATTAAGCCAGAAGGATTTATGCTCACTAAGAATTTAGCTGTGTTATGATGTTTATAATCACTCCATGTCTGAGCTGCAACCTCTAAATTATTGGGTCTCTCTAAAAATACTTCGGTGCAGTCAATGATGTGACGGACATCAATGTATTTTGTTCCTTTGAAAGAAGGTGGTAAATTTGTTTTAACTGCCTCTTTTGATGGGTTAAACACCAAAGATCCTATTGTACTGGACAAAACTTTTATCCATGTTGTAAATATGTTAGAAGCATGGGTGGTAGAAATTCCAAATCGGTCAGCAAGATCTTCAAACAACAGGCCTAACCTTAATTTCATAAGGGTCAATGCAAATTCAAATTTAAGTGATAATTTTCTGTTTGAATTTGATCTTGTATATTTCTTGTTTTTAAGTGGATTGCATGTCCTTTTTGGACCTTTCCAATGTCTCATTTGCCTCACTTTTTGTTCCAATTCAATGAAAAAGTCATTGAAAGTTTCAACCTTTGGTATGCCTGTATAGAATTTGCATTTTTTGTCACTTTGTAATATAACATTTATGTCAAATGTTGTTTTGCGTTTAGTATTGACAGATCTTATGTAAGCAGATTTATACATATTGACTTCTTTTTGCAGTTTCTGTACCTGGTCCCTTAATAAAATTACTTCACGGTTACAGTCTGTGTCTTGTATATACATGTAGTCATGATCAGAAGTTATGTGTTTGTTCAAATCCTCAACTGAGAGGTCATTCTCAAGTTTTCGCTTTGTTTTCTTAGGAGGGGGACTGTCATGTCTTTCACGTGGAGGGGGCCTAAATTTTGTTACTTGTATTGGTGTGTAACCCAAGTCAAGTGTTGGTAACGGGTTACTAAGAGTTGGTTCACAATCTACAAAATGTTTGGAGCAAATTCGAGATTCAGAATTAGGTTGCCAATTATTGTTTCCATTTTTTCGATTTACAATTGTTGTCCATTTTTTGCGACCAGCAGGATCTTTTCTCTCAGTGGGAAAAGGTATAAGTTGAAATGGAGGTGAACAGTCACATGATCCAGTTCCCTTGTTACATTTATGTATTTCACATTGTTCTTGCATCCATTTTTCTATTTTGTACCAACTGTTAGAGCAGGATATAACTGAACAACTTCTCCTTGAAACTTTATACATTTTCAATAATTTAACCAAACATTGTAAACAGATAACCAACAAAGATTACTATACCCATTATTTCACTAGAAATCTGCAATTGAAATACCAGAATATGAATCAAAATACACTGTGGGTGTGTAGACCAAAGATGAAAAAATGCAACTCTGCATGTTGTTGGGTTACTGCTTTTTTATTTACATGCTTATGGCGTTGACCATGGTTTGAGTGTGGTTTGATCTTATGATTATATTCATCATGTTCATATTTATATATGATTATTAAAATTATTGTGTCAATTATTAAAATCGTTGTTATAATTTATTTTGCTTTTCATGGGCATTTTTATTGGAATAAAATATCTGATCTTATTACTAACCTTGCTGTTGCCCCACAATTACACCATGTACACTGTTACAATAAAGACTTTGATCATGTAAACTTTAAACTTGGCAAAGAACAACCAATAACCATGCAAAAATATCAGTTCACATGATCAAGGTTTTATATGCTTGTGTACAGTCTCTTGTAGTATTCACAGGAGCCTTGTGAAGTAGACCCTGCTTGATGTTTTGGGGGTTTAATTTTTATTATTACTTAAAATATTCAATATTTTTAATTTAGCAATGTTTAGTATGGAAAGTAAAATAAGGGGTTGTATCAGAGTTGGTAATTTGACTTGAAACAAGACGAGGCATGCACAGTAGCCACAAATAAGCATGGTATAAACATAGTAAAAATTAAACATTTTAAGCCATAATAATTCATAAAAAAACCACAGAAATTTAATAAAAGGGGGTGTACCCCACATGTGCCTGTTGCAGTTACAGCAGAAACTTGTTTTATTTAAAAAAAAAAAGAAATATCAAGTATATTTGTAAGGTGGTAAAAATCAGCATGTTTGTAAGTTTAATTTTGACAGATCTTGACTGTTTGGAACAGTACATTTTACAAGTAAGTAACCTAGCTGGTGGACCCTTTAAACAATTATAGGGATCCCTATATACATGTATGCAATAAAATGGAATAATTCATAAGCAAACCATTCCTGAGTCTAGTGTTATAAACACGGAAATAAGTCACAAAAGTTAAAATATTTCAGTTAGGTAATGCAGAAGACCGTGACCTAAACAGCTAAAAGGACCCTGTCACGGCTTGTGTACGACAAAGTATGGTTTTGCACCTCTGAAAGGATACACACTGGCTAAGTTTTTGTATTTTTACTAACCTAATGGATTATATAACTATTTAAAATGGTATAATTTGCACGATTTAAGACATTTTCAACTCGAGTAGTGATTCTGGCGATCAATGTTTATTATTACGTGCTCAATGATGTAAGCGGTTTTTCCCCTATGACCTTTGACCGGGCCGCTTACGTTCCATGTGTTGATACAAGTATATTAATGGCATTCATCTCACATTTTCTTATTTTTATACTATCTATACAAAATATATCTGTGCCTAAATCGTTCAGAGTATACAAAAATTGTTAATAAATAAATGAAAGAATCAAAGATCTGCCACTAACATCGTCCTGAACATGCATGAAATATTTGCCACTGGACGTTAAGCAACAAACAATCAATCAATCTGCCACTAACATCAATTTATCCAAATAACGAAAAAAACATAAGATGTAAGCAACAACAACTGTCGTGGTTGTTTCGAGTTTTTTAAAAAAAAATTTCAAACTGATTTCGCATTACGACGACCTCTTCTTTTCGAAAATTTACAGATTATGAATAAGTATTAGATACGTGTACACCTTGATGGTGTTAGCCCGAATGGGTGTATCTGAATCACACCAAAATATTATTGTCAATGCAGAATGATCGTTTTCAATAATTTAGGAGGGGATCTTTCGGCGATTTGACCATATGTTTTTGAAAAGCATGATAAATGCAGGGTATCCAATTTCATTTAACGACATCTTGGTGTAAGTCTAAATAATTATAGGTTATAACATATCCTTTTCCATATCGACCCTTGTATCATCCAGAGACTCCCTTATTAGCCCAAGGCGATGATACCAGGGCCTATATGGAAAAGGACATGTTATAATATTTATCACATATTATACAAATGCTTTAATAACAAAGTATAAAAGAATTTCATTATACCGGCAGTGTTCTTTAATTAAAAAAATCCGCAGTCGTTTAGTCGACGTTTCCGTCCGTCATTGTTGTTCCGTAAACTTATGAGGTCATACCAGGGTACAATAACTGTATATGACGTCATAACAGGGCACAATAACTGGTTATTTGTCCCGGTTAGGAATATGACTGGGCAAATCCGCGGTTATTGCATATGCAAAACCCAATGTTTTAGTTACAAATATTTGATAATGCGTAATTCACAACTTCTGAATGTTTTACGTTTAATGTTTTCCACTGTTCACGACGTCTGATCAATTCTTTCAAAATTTCGTTTAATGTTCTTTTGGGTGCAAGTATATATAATTACGATCAATTTTGAAATAAACAGTTTGAAAATAATCTCCAAGATGCTTTATTCATACAAAACCTACAAACAAATCTTCACTGCTACACGACTTTACATTATTAGAAGCACCGGACAATCCGAAGGATGAATAATTGTATATTTCTAAAATTTCTATAAAAATGTCTCGTTGTTAAACCAACATATACTGTTATCTCATATAGAATATTTTTATTTGAATTATGTCTATAAACCAACATTGAGATGTGAGGATCATTATTCTTATTATGACACAAATATTATAGTTCCGTTCGTAATTATTCGCTTTCTAACCAAACATAGCATCCCGGCAATTAGTGTCCAATGTAACAATATCTTTTTATTATTGTTACATTTCAACGTAATCGTAGCCAGTGCCTATTATGAATAGAGTGAGAAACGTGTCACATCTAGTACTAGTATTGCAATTTTTAAAACTCCCGTTTTGAATTCTGATTGCAGTATTTGTGAAAAAATCATTTCACAAAAACTTTGAAACCTTTAACTACTGATCAATACAATGATTCGGTACAACATGTACATGTAATTTGACTGCACCGTATTCGCAATTCGACAATTAATGTTTCCCCAGTGATTGAGCCTTTTTCAGCCCAAAATAATTGAAAACTAAAAATTTACTAGAAACGTTGAAGTGCTGATACAAAAGGATCAAACGTATACAGAAAACGTGTGTCTCATTCGTCTCGATTATGTTATATAATTTTTTTAATTTTTTTATCGACCACTAGATAGATATTTTTTGATAGTACAAAATTTAAAAACTCAAAATGTTTTAAAGGAACTGTCATCTCACATAAATGTTAAAAAGTTACTGCAATGTATAGAGTACTGTCATACATATTTTTTCTTTAATATTATGCCATTACGTCAGGTAATCAAGTTATAACCTTGTCCGTCCAATCTTTCCAATATTGATGTTCATTCAAAACCTTGTCTTTGTGATTCATTTCCGATAAATCGTAATTTTTTTCTATAGTTTAAAAGATTGTACGCGCACTGTTTAAATTGTATAATCTACAGTAAACGAATACAATCAGTGTCCATTGTAAATATTCTAACATAAAATCAAAGTGTCAACATAAAAATAATACCACACTTATAGTTAATAAATAAATATATCTAAAACAAAAAGTAATTTCTAAACGTTGCTATCACTACCAAACTTTCCATTCGTGTTGTCCGACTTTGACTTCCGGTTTTCTCCTTCTGATGACGACGATGAAGATCTCGTCCTCTCGGTTCCTATCTTGTTTCTTCTAGACCTGGGCTTTTCCTTCTTGTCGTTCCCTGAGGTAAAGTTTTCTTTTTTTAGTCGAACAGCATCTTTTACAATATTCCTAAATTTTGACCCTGTCCCTACTGTTTTATGTTTACTAAAATTATTCCATTTGTCCATCACTTTTTGTGCTACTAGTTTGTTTTTTGCATACAATGAACCCGTAAGATCCTTAAATGGTGCCTTCTCCCAATTTGCTTTCACAACGTCTTGCAGATTCTTGAACTTTCTACCACCACGCACTTGTTCAAGCGACTTGTTCACGTTCATGAATTTTCTATCTTTATCGGTATATGTTGTTGATAACGGCGCAATAGGAACTACTGCTGGCTGGATCAAAAAGTCAGCAAGTCTTGAGTTCGTTTCACCCGTGTGAGTGACATCACTCTCCCAGATTTCGGTCGTTGCACAGATATGAACTAGCGTTGAAAATCTGTGATACAACATACAAACAAACTGAAGCAGCAACAACATGCCAAAGACGGCTGTGAAAAGTATTGCAATTGGAACCAGTTGGATTGTACCTCCACTACAATCAATCTCTATGGCCAAGGAATCTCTGAAAGCGTTTACTTGAGTTAATCCGAACATCACTGTAACGAGAATTGCGTTAAGTAGATAGACGAACAAGCATGCTCTGTTTCTTAAATCAATTAATTCTAGTTCTACTTCCTCCTTCTTCTTAGAGTCTTCGTGTATGGGTTTTAAGTATTTCTTTATATACTTCTTCCAAAACTTTCGTTCTTCTTTTGAAATCATTTGAACGGATTGGTCTGCCCTTACTTCCCACACATCTTCAATATTTGGTTTTTCTTTTTCAGGTTGTCGTTCCTTATCGATGTCCGATTGTCTGACCTGCACTGCTTGGTCAACTGTAAAGTTAATATATTAATTATTAGCGTTTTCATATTATTTAAATCATGGAAACTATGAATAAAAGATGGGAAGGTACCAAAGAAAAAATCACTGCAAAAAAAAAACCAAACTAATTCATAAAAAAACTAAAAACTGAGCAACATGAAATAAACAAAATCTTATTGAAATATAGTTATGTATCCATGCTTTTCACACAAGACTCTGACAACGCTTACAAGGATCTGACATGGCTTTCAAGAATCTGACAACGTTTACAAGAATCTGACAACGTTTACAAGGATCTGACAATGTTTACAAGGATCTGACAACGTTTACAAGGATCTGACAATGTTTACAAGGATCTAACATGGCTTTCAAGAATCTGACAACGTTTACAAGGATCTGACAACGTTTACAAGGATAATTATGACAACGTTTACAAGGATCTGCAAATGTTTACAAGGATCTAACATGGCTTTCAAGAATCTGACAACGTTTACAAGGATCTGGCAACGTTTACAAGGACCTTGACAACGTGTATACGGATCTGACAACGCTGATAAAGATATGACAACATTTTTAAGGTTCTGACAACGCTTTGAAGGTTCTGAAAACACTTTCAAGAATCCAACAACTCTTTCAAGAATCTGACAACGTTTACAAGGATCTGACAACGTTTACAAGGATAATTATGACAACTTTTACAAGGATCTGCCAATAATTACAAGGATCTAACATGGCTTTCAAGAATCTGACAACGTTTACAAGGATCTGGCAACGTTTACAAGGATCTTGACAACGTGTATACGGATCTGACAACGCTGATAAAGATATGACAACATTTTTAAGGTTCTGACAACGCTTTGAAGGTTCTGAAAACACTTTCAAGAATCCAACAACTCTTTCAAGAATCTGACAACGTTTACAAGGATCTGACCACGCTTTCAAGAATTTGACAAGGATACAACAACGCTATCAAGGATCTGAAATGTTTACACTTATCTTATAACGTTTACAAGGATCTTACAACGCTTTCAAGGATCCGCCAGCGTTTACAAGGATCTGACAACGTTAACAAGAATCTGACAACGTTTACAAAGATTTAACAATACTTTAAATGATCTAACAGCGTTTACAAGGTGCTGACAACGCTTTGAAGGATCTTACTTTGCTTTCAAGGATCTGACAACGCTTTCAATGATCTAACAACGCTTCAAGTATCTTACATCGTTTTAATACAAGGATCTAAGAACACTTTCAAAGATCTATAAACGCTTTCAATGATCTGCCATCGTTTACAAAGATCTGACAATGTTTACAAAGATCCAGCAACGCTTTCAAGGATCTAACAACACTTTGAATGATCTAACAACGTTTCAAGGATCTTACAACGTTTCAATACAAGGATCGAAGAACGCTTTCAAAGATCCAAAAACGCTTTTAATGATCTGCCAACGTTTACAATGATCTGACAACACTTTCAAGAATATAAAAAGACTTTCAAGGATCTGGTTTAAATCGCCCAGTGCTAACCATGGAACCTTGAATTGTTAGATTCATTTTTGGATACGGTGACTCCATTGTAAAAACTTTTAAAATATGTATAAACTTTGAAAGATTTTATAAATGCTCAAGCGTGGTTTGGTTTTTAGTTTTTTTTTTTTTTTTAGAAAACCTGCATTGATCTATAAGATTCCTTTTGCATCATTTTGATGAATGATATCTTTATCCATACTATTTATTTATACTTGTAATGGCCTTTTTCTTTTTAATTTTTTCTGTGTTGTGCACCTTAAAAAAATGAAAACAACATGTTATAAATTTGATGCGTCCGAAGCGCTTTTCTGGATTTACCTTCATCAGGAACGCTTAAAGCCGAATATTTGAAAGTCAAGGAAGTATAAAGACCAAAAACGTTGCAGAGCATAAACCAAAAAGGATCTAAAAAATAGCCAAATCCATCTAAGGCCAACTTTGCCTGAGTTAATATACATATACTGTGTAACACATAATTTTTAGTTACCTGTTGTTATATCCTTATTTTTATTTATCACATCTTTTTCTTTTGGTTCTTCTTTATCTGTGTTCATAATTTCTCTGACATCTCTTACTTCATTCATCATATTAGAGTATAGGAAATCGTCTTTGTTGTAATCATTCGTCGGACAAAACATACAACTAAAATAATATAAATAAATGGACAATGTGTTTATGGGACACAGATGAAGCCCCTCGCTCGCATATAACGTTATAAAGGGCCATAACTCGGGAACCGTAAAAGTGACGCTATCCAAGTTCAAACTTGATCAGTGACACTGTAATTTGTGGTAATAAACATTGTGTATAAGTTTTTTTACATTTGGTTGAGGCAAACTAAAGTTAGAGAACGGAAACCTAGCGTCGGGGCCATGAAATACATTTAATCCCCGAATATTGAAATATTGAAAGAAATCAAAAACACTAATCTATGTATATCATGTATATAGCAAATAATTTCACATTTATATCTGATAAATTTTCAGAGTATTTTCTCGGTAACATTATGCACTTTTACAGCTTGCTCTGTTGTGCTGCTGCTTCACCATTGTCACATGATGCGTTGAGAGTTCATCGCTCTCAATCATGTTAAATATGACACATTCATTTGTTTCCTATTCCAAGCCAAGAACAGGTATTGCAGTGGTTCTCGATGGATGCCGTCTACAATATCATTGATTTTCGTTCATTGTTTTTATCATAAATTCATAACCTTTGATATATGACTATATGCTTTGTTCATTGAATAAAGGCCGTAGTTTTTCACATTCTAAGCATTTGATCTTTGGTGGATTGTTGTTTCATTGACAATCATACAACATTTTCGTATATGTTATAAATTTTTATTGTTAGAAATACTAAGGATATTGAACTTTTCAAAGACGAAACGCGCGTCTGGTATACAAAAATATAAGCTTGGTATCTGATACTTTTTGATTATTTATTTTAGCATCGAAGTCATTAATGATACCTGAAAAACTTTCCTAGTGAGCAAAAATATCCTTTTTCCTCTTTTTCTGGTTTAAATTTTTTGTCTGGTTTCGTGTTGTCAGAAGCCTGTTTTGTTTCTCTTGTGCCCCATGATACGATGTGAAGATTTCCAATCGAATAAAGAAACATCAACATGGACATTGAAGGTATAGCCACAAAATACAACAACCCAGGTATGATACAGAAAAATTCCTGTAAAAATATGATAATATTTATCAAGCAAGTACTCAATGTGGTAGTAATGTACAGGATAAAAATAAGCACGGCGCAGAGGCTGTTCAAGATTTAAATAAAACTGCTGCTCTAAAGGGAGATGTGGGGTACGTATTAATTAGAAAGCAAGTAATAATAAAAATAATAAATATATGAACAAAAAATTCAAACAGGGGTTAATAAACCGTATAAGCTAATAGTGAACCTTTTTGGAAAGAGCATTAGTCAGTTTCAATATGAACCGACTTAAAATGAGGTAAAAGATAGGAAAAACAGTTAATTTTCTTGTCTCCTTAAGTGCAATATACGATGGTGATTGGCATACCAGTAAATATGATATTGTAATTAAACTACTAGTATTAGAAAAACACAAACAATAACTGCCGTCAAATCTTTACTTTGTCTCTCTCGGATTTCGAGGTATGTAAAAACATTAACTGGACTTGTACTTGCATTGTGGTATGAGCATTTTAAAAATTCTTATATTTTGAATTCATACATCACATCAACTCTTTAAAAACCCATTACATACCTTTGGATGAACTAAAGCCGAAACCACGAAAACTCCTGCGACAAATATAATAAAAATGGTCGTCATTGAGCAAACTCCTTCATCTATAGCATCTTTAACTACACCAATCATTACAATCATCATCACAATAACGTAAATAGAGGATAAAACGGCGGCTAATTGAAGCTACAACCAAAAATTAAGATGCATTACTGCCAAACAATGATCGTTATTAAATTTTATCTAATATCTACTCCGATGATTAAACAAGTGGTATCTTTTATAAAGACTACACACTAAGCAATTGTAACAGTATCGTAAAATAAAGGAAGAAAAAAAGGAAAAAAAGAAAAAAAGACAAAAAAGTGGCTAACTAAAGAAGCAGCGGAGTAAAACCATTTTTTTTCCTTCTTCTTGGGTTTATGTTGCTCAATATTTGTTAACGTTCAACATCTACATATGTACTCCACAATTTGAATTGAGTATCTAATGTGCAAAATAGATACGTATATATGCAATATTGTGAAATTGTTTCTCATTAGAGGTATTGCCAATTAATGAATATAACCGATACGTTGAATTATCACAATATCAATACAAACTTTATAAATTGTGACTTGGATGGAGAGTTGTCTCATTGGCACTCATACCACATCTTTTTATATCTAATTATGAAACAAACCTGTCTTTGAGATGACGCATATAGAGTCATCAGCAGAAACAATCCGACAGGAAACAAATTCAGGAGAAGAGACAAATATGGGGGTATTGCTTCGAATCCAACAATAATCGCTCCCAAGATAATCATAAATATTGTCCCCGGTGTTAACAACGTGGATACAAACAAAAACATCTGGTAAACAATATACAGAAAAGAAATATTCTCGTTGATCTTTGTGACCTTCTTCCAGTCAAGTATGATATCGAGAATATTAGCCATTGTAGAAGGTGTCCATCTGCGACGTTGGTTGTAAAATTCATAAAACCCTTCCGGTGCAAATGTATATGCATCTGATTCTGCGCAGTACTCTACTTTCCATCCTTGTTTTAGCAGTAACGTACATAACCATCTGTCTTCACCTAAAAAACATCGGTACAACTAAGTTACATGTACTTTAGAAAATTATGTATAAGGCCAATCTGTATGAGTTGTCGTTCTTCTAATTTCAATGCATGCATACATTTTGTAACCGTTGATAGCCAAAGAGGTAATTTCGGTTTAGGATGGCCTTGTGTACGCTTATCTCAAGTTTTGTATGTAGCATTTTTGGGATGGTTGTGTTCTTTTCTCTATACTTTTCATCGAATTACGGATTTTGATTGTTCCTCTAATATTTTCTGATAAACTAATATATGTACAATTACATGTACTTAATAGGGGAAATCTAATTAAACACAAGTAGTTTAGTGTTTGTAATTTTTTGAATGTAACTTTATTACACTGAAATTATGATGGCAAAACAAAGATATATCAAAACGAACTAGAAAAGCTATTGAGGGAGCAAGACAAAGAGTGCATACTCATGTGCTTTTATGACGATTTGTTTCGGAAGTGTTTTTTTTTGTTATTCATACATGTTTTTGTCCGGGTTCACAGCATTCTGCATTCTGTGACAGTAAATATCATAATGAAAATACTTTTACTGTATAAAATACAACATGTCTAGATATTAGTGGACACTTTCGGAATTTAAAATATTAAAGTAAAAATACGATTTATTTTGTCCCAAAAGTATGTCCTTCGTATCACACATCCTCACTCTGCGTGACATTATTGTGTGGGTTCAAAAGTTTTGTTTTCGTGCCTTGGTCAAATTAAGAATGAAAATGTACAAGCCTAATACCTTGATCATATTGAACATAGTGCTGAGCTTCATTTGCAATTGTTGTGTACTTTTGTAAAACCTCTGGATGCATAAGAGCGGAACCCCGGAATAGACTGAAGCATCCTGGACTGCACAGAACGCACCCAATCACGTGTTCAGTTGCTTTTTGCAACCAGTGACTAATCGCATATTCAAACTTCTGATACCATACCATTGGTCCTAAAAAGAAATTCAAGATTCTTGTGATTTATATGTTTGCTTGTTTCTTTAATGAGTTGTAGACAATAAGTACATGTATATACATTTATATGTTTTTGTTTATTGTGGGCAAACACGTATACATAGAATACTCGATCTGTAATGTAGTCAAATGAATATACAGTATTTCTGCTCTTTGGTCGGGTTGTTATCCCTTTTGACACATTCCCCATATCCATTCTCAATTTGATTTGTCGAAAATATAAAAGTTGTTTGTGCGAGTTTTAGAAACATGATACAAAGCGAGTGTAAGCTTTTCTACTGGTCGTAGCAAGCACAAATACATTTTATATTTCTGAAAATGCACATTTATTGTATTTATCCGGCACTTGAAGCTTTAATTGTCTCTGAATTTGCAAAGAAATCAATAAAGTTTAAACACGAGCCGCGGAGAGGACCATCTTTATTCATCCTGCGACAAGTCAACTGTTTTACAAATAATAGGCACACAAATAGATATGTGCTGTATTTGTACTTGTATAATTAAGATTCCTGTTATTCCATTTCCATGTCGAGCAAGCGGTAAGTTGGATATTACTTTTTGCGCAGCAGTGCATGTTTGTCATTATCACCAGACAGTAAAATAAATGTACCAAATTTAATGGAATACATTTTGTGATCGAAGTCTTTAACTTCCACTTGAACCTATTCAATTTATCGGCCCAAAATTCTTTTGATTGATTATTAATAAATATGGTTAATATATTTCCCGAGTGTCCATGGTCAGTGAAAAATATTTCATATATATTCAATGCAAAGAGTGAACGTGCATACAACCTAGGACTTTCCCTTCACAATGTACATGTATCTATAGGATTTGGCTGCGTATGTATACATCCACACACTTGAGAATATGTTCAAGTGCCTAATGGGAAAACTCATATTACTACACCACAGTTAACCCGTTAGGACTATCATTTTGAAGCAAGAAAAAACACATAACAACGTCAATTGTATGCGTAAAAATGTAAAACCTGATCCAATTGGGTGAATTCTTCCACAGGCTGCTCCAACAATCTTTGACTTATTCATTCGTCTCATCAAACTAAGTACAGCTTCCGGTTCAAAATCAACGTCACCATCGAGAGCTAAAAGGAATGTATTGTCCAAGGCTGCTTGCTTCCCTGAGTCACCATGCTTTTCTTGTATACACCATTGTAAAATATAATACATATACATAACCTGTGGAATTAAAAAAAACATGTGGAAAATATATTTGTTTTCTTTTACTATCAAAAAGAAAAGTACACTTGTTTACTTTCATGTATAATCAATTCCAGTGTGCTATTGGTTTACCACGACTAAAGCTTTAAGCAGAGAGTCAAAATTCAATATAACGAATCACTGATTAGTTAAAAAAAAAACACGTTCTTAATGGTTTTAAAATCTTGATTGAATAGACTTTCGAAAAAAAAAAACGAAAAAGGGACAGCATCCCATCCAAACAGAAACAGCTAACATTTGATAGTCGGTCGGAAGGGGGATAAATGACAACGAGACAACCACCGATAACAAAATGTATGGTCATTAATAATTTGTGCACATTAAATATTGATACATTCGAGGTACATTGTCTCATTCCACTGCATTTTTTCGTTTTATTTCATCCCTTCTCTTACTGTAGATGACATATTCGTCACATATAACGGTGTTCTACTCCATTGCTGAAGTAAAGATATGACGTCAGAGCAAGGACTTTGAAAAAGCAAGCAAAGAATTTGACATCTATTTGTGAGGGCGGAACAAAATCGATTACAGAGGCCAAAAATCGCAAGAATGTTTTGATTTAACTTTTCTTTTACCTGACTCCACCGTTTTTTATGGCGAATTTTGGTCTTATCCTTCAAGTGAGCGACCATTTTGTTTCCTCCTGGAAGAATCCATTCGATTCTTGCTCCATAGGGTGTTCTATACATCATACCATCATCTAATTCTATGTCAGTACCATGAACGAAGCTGAAAACAAAGAAAACAATCAGAGAATGAGGACAATTTCATATCTTAGTGATGATTTCATAGTTGGTGACCAATATTTGAAGGAGTCCCGCAAAATTTGCATTATTGAGTAAAACAAATGTGTTGAAAGAATAAAGCTAGTATACTAGAATCATTGCTCTTTTTCTTTTTATGTCTTTAGCTACATTTTATAAAGGTGTGTCGAGTCTTAAAAACATTATTCTTAAAGATAATAGTTCAGTGACTTTGAACAAAGTAAATGTTAAAAATTGAGGTTTGGATATTTTTGTTCATGCATTTTTCCTATTTTCTCTTCTTCACGTTAATACATGATTACATAATGAAATCTACTTATTACCTTCTCGTCGTATAGTTATTACATTCCCGCCGTATTGTTATAACCTTCCTGTCGTATTGTTATTACCTTCCCGTGGCGTCGTAATATTATTAACTTTCCGTCGTATCGTTATTACCTTCCATACATATTGTTGTTACTTTCCCATCGTATTGTTATTTCATTCTCGCCGTATTGTTATTACCTTCCCGTCGTATTATTATTCCCTTCCTCCGTATTGTTATTATCTTTTCACCGTATTGTTATTACCTTCCCACCCTATTGTTGTTACCTTCTCGCCTTATTGTTATTATCTTCGCGCCGTATTGTTATTACCTTCCCGTCGTATCGTTATTACCTTTTCTCCGTAATAATATTACCTTCCAGCGACATTGATGCATTGGATAAATGTCTTTACATAGCTATTTGCTTTTGGATATTTTTCTCCCTCTTCTAAAGGATCAAAGGCATCATCAAAGAAGACTTGGGCTATTCAATTAAAAAAACCCAATAAACATTGTATACAAATACACACCAATATACTGATAATATAAAAAGAGGGAGAAGACATCAAGAGTACACCTAAAACGACCCTTCAAGTTGCTTAATCTTTGCCAGCTGTTGATCTCGTTACATGTTTTTATGGGTATCGACACCTGCTGGAAAATATCATCAAATCACAAAAAATAAAAAAAATAAAAAACACTTATAAATTGCATAAAAACAATACTAAGTCTTACATTTATACAACCTGAGACAACATATATAGCTGGTATTCTTTTTATATGTGCTGCTGTTTGATGGAAAATTGCTCGAAAAGAGATTTGAATAATTATATAGGAGGATATAGACTAACAAACTTAACTATAACCAACCAAACTAAATACAAAATAAATTGTAAAATCGAAGTGTTTCTGGAATACAAAGTTTATGTAAAAATGATATCTTATAGCTACTTTGTTCTAATGAACGTCATCGATCTTTTTTGTTAACTTGCCGTTTCTAAGAAAACACGGGGAAACAATATGTTTGCCAATGTGTCTTGATGTCATGTTGTTATCCCATATGTGGTTTCTGTATTTCGAGGACCAATTGTCTATACTTCTATGGTTGTTTCTTCATTTTACAAAACAAAATCTGTACAAGTTTTTCTTTATAAATTATATGCGCATGTTTGCAAAGACATATTATAGCAAGTAACGTACCTTCGAGATCATAAGTTTCTTCTGATTGGTCCTCATCGGGAGACAGTTCCGCCATAAGGCTGTTCCTGAATTGATTTATGTCTAGCCTACAAAAGAGGGACGAAAGATACCAGAGGGACATTCAAACTCATAAGTCGAAAATAAACTGATATTGCCATGGATTAAAAAAAGAAATAGTCCCACAGAAAAACAATATTACACAAAACACAGCACAGAAATCTAAAGACTGAACGACAAGAACCCATCAAAACCTGTGGGCGATATCAGGTGCTCCGGAAGGGAAAGCAGATCCTGTTCTACATGTAGCACTACAAATGATGGACACAAAATGATTGATTGGTGTGTTATACAGTACGCTGCATCAAATATAAATAGTTTATCGCGGCAATGGAACAGAATGGTCGGAAGTAACCTTTGAAAACGTCAAAATAATAAACTCATGATGATACATTTTCTATAAAAATAAAAAGAAGAAGTATCATTGCCAATGACACAACTCTTCACAAATTACCAAAATGACACACAAGTATACAATTAGTCTTTTTGTTTGCTCATATAAGTCTCAAGTACAGCTTTATCTTAAAACCAGACGTTATGACGTTGTTTTTATCGTGAAAGGTCTATACACTTTACCAAAGGTCTTTCTCAGCCAATTATAGATGTGATTGTAAGAGTCATATAAAAAATAATTTTACCTAAAAACTGACTTCAGAAGCTGTGTCATTTCATTGGCTGTTTCGTGCCACATCGTTGCACAGCAAGCATACAACATCCGTCTTTCGTTTTGCACTTTGTCGTTAACTGCTGGTTTGGTTTTGGTGTCATCGGAATCATCCTTAGTAGAAAATGATTAACTACCGAATAACTTTATTTCAGAAAAATAGCTTTACATTATACAAGAAAATAGCATTCGCAAATACTTGATGTGAAGCAATTAATAGACAACTAAATTGGAATAGGTGTAAGATCTTTTATGCGTAATAACGGATTTATAATCAAAAAGTGTGAACAATAGTGTTTAAAAGAAAACTTCGCCAAGAGATAGTGTTTAAAATGAAAATAAAGTTGAAGAAGTAGTGTTTCTAATGAATTATTTATACCTTGTTAAAGAAATAGCGCTCCGTGAGAATACTTTGTTTACGAAATAGTGTTTCAAATGAATACCTTGTTGGAAAAATAGTGTTTCATATGAATACCTTGTTGAAAAAATATTGTTTCAAATGTATACCTTGTTGAAGAAAAAGTGTTTCAAATGAACACCTTGTTTACGAAATAGTGTTTCAAATGAATACCTTGTTGAAAAAATAGTGTTTCAAATGAATACCTTGTTAAAGAAGAAGTGTTTCAAATGAATACCTTGTTTACGAAATAGTGTTTCAAATGAATACCTTGTAGAAGAAATAGCGCTCAATGTGAATACTTTGTTTAAGAAATAGTGTTTCAAATGAATACTTTGTTCACGAAATAGTGAATATTGTATTGGGTTTTCTCATTGTTGAAGGCCCTAAGGTTGCTTATAATTGCTAACATCCACTTAATTTAAACTTTGGTGGATAGTTGTCTCATTCATACCACATCTCCTTATTTTTATATATTGTTAAGAAAACAGTCTTCCAAATGAATACCATGTTAAGGAAAATGTGTTCCAAATGAACGCTGTCCTTTCTAATGAAATTTATAAGTGTTCCAAATGGATACCTTAGATAAGAATAGGTGTAAGATCTTTGTTGCGTAATAACGGATTTATAATAAAAAAGTGTGAACAATAGTGTTTAAAAGAAAACTTCGCCAAGAGATAGTGTTTAAAATGAAAATTAAGTTGAAGAAGTAGTGTTTCTAATGAATTATTTATACCTTTTTAAAGAAATAGCGCTCCGTGAGAATACTTTGTTTTGCGAAATAGTGAATACCTTGTTGGAAAAATAGTGTTTCATATGAATACCTTGTTGAAGAAATATTGTTTCAAATGTATACCTTGTTGAAGAAAAAGTGTTTCAAATGAACACCTTGTTTACGAAATAGTGTTTCAAATGAATACCTTGTTGAAAAAATAGTGTTTCAAATGAATACCTTGTTGAAGAAACAGTGTTTCAAATGAATACCTTGTTTACGAAAAAGTGTTTCAAATGAATAACTTGTAGAAGAAATAGCGCTCAATGTGAACACTTTGTTTACGAAATAGTGTTTCAAATGAATACCTTGTAGAAGAAATAGCGCTCAATGTGAACACTTTGTTTAAGAAATAGTGTTTCAAATGAATACTTTGTTCACGAAATAGTGTTTCAAATGAAAACTTTGTTCACGAAATAGTGTTTCAAATGAATACTTTGTTCACGATTTAGTGTTTTAAATAGATACCTTGTTGCAGAAATATTGTTGAAATGAATACCTTGTTGAAAAAAATTTATTTCAATGAAAACCTTGTTGAAAAAATAGTATTTCAAATGAACGCCTTGTTGAAAAAACAGTATTTCAAATGAATACCCTGTTGACGAAATAGTGTTTCAAATGAATACCTTGTTGAAGGAATAGTGTTTCAAATGAATACCTTGTTGAAGAAATAGTGTTTCAAATAAATACACTGTTGACGAAATAGTGTTTCAAATGAATACTTTGTTGAAGGAAAAGTGTTTCAAATGAATACCTTGTTGAAAAAAATAGTGTTTCAAATAAACATCTTGTTGAAGAAATAGTGTTTCAAATGAATACCTTGTTGAAAAAAATAGTGTTTCAAATGAACACCTTGTAGAAAGAATAGTGTTTCAAATGAACACCTTGTTGAAGAAATAGTGTTTCAAATAAATACCCTGTTGACGAAATAGTATTTCAAATGAATACCTTGTTGAAGGAATAGTGTTTCAAATGAACACCTTGTTGAAGAAATAGTGTTTCAAATAAATACCCTGTTGACGAAATAGTATTTCAAATGAATACCTTGTTGAAGAAATAGTGTTTCAAATAAATACCCTGTTGACGAAATAGTATTTCAAATGAATACCTTGTAGAAGAAATAGTGTTTCAAATGAATACCTTGTTGAAAAAATAGTGTTTCAAATGAACATCTTGTTGAAGAAATAGTGTTTCAAATGATTACCTTGTTGAAGAAAAAGTGTTTCAAATGAATACCTTGTTGAAGAAATAGTGTTTAAAATGAACACCATGTTGAGGAAATAGTGTTTCAAATGAATACCTTGTTAACGAAATAGTGTTTTAAATGAATACCGTGTTAAAGAAATAGTGTTTCAAATGAACATCTTGTTGAAGAAATAGTGTTTCAAATGATTACCTTATTGAAGAAATTGTGTTTCAAATGGATACCTTGTTTACGAAATAGTGTTTTAAATAAATACCTTATTGAAGAAATAGTGTTTCCAATGAATACATTATTGAAGAAATAGTGTTTCAAATGAATACCTTGTTGAAGAAACAGTGTTTCAAATGAACACCTTGTTGAAGAAATAGTTCTCCATATGTGAATACCTTGTTTACGAAATAGTGTTCCAAAAAGTTTAATTCTTGGAAATTATTGTCAGTAACAGCGAGTACTCTCCGATCTGTACATGAACTTTAGTGTCTTTTGGGTTTTGGGATGTATAAGCACCCGTATACGTCCACTCTGTGTTTTTCTATTTGTATCCATCTGACAAGTCTTTTTCAACTAATTTATATAGTTTGTTTTTAAATTGTATGTTACATCACTGTCCCAAGTTAGGGGTAGTGTCGGGCGCCCACAAACATGTTTAACCCCGCAACATTCGTTATGTGATTGTCCCAAGTCAGGAGCCTGTAGTTCAGTCGTTGGTTCATGTTTGTCATATATATTTTTTTTCGTTAACTGTTTTGTTAAAAATTAGGTCGTTAGCATTCTCAATTGAATATAGTTTCATATTTTTCATGTCGGGGCCTTTTATAGCGGACAATATTGTATTGGGTTTTCTCATTGTTGAAGGCCCTAAGGTTGCTTATAATTGCTAACATCCACTTAATTTAAACTTTGGTGGATAGTTGTCTCATTGGCAATCATACCACATCTCCTTATTTTTATATATTGTTAAGAAAACAGTCTTCCAAATGAATACCATGTTAAGGAAAATGTGTTCCAAATGAACGCTGTCCTTTCTAATGAAATTTATTAGTGTTCAAAATGGATACCTTAGATAAGACAAAACTGTATTCTTTGTCATTTCTCCTCCGATTCAGTAACAGCGACAGGTCAATAAATAGTGCGCAATAGAAATTAGATACAAACATCCTGTAAGAACAGAAGACAAAAATAATGCAATCATTTTGATAACACAACGCTTTGATAACAATAATAACTCATAAACACTTATACTGATTTTTGAGCTATAATGAAATATTGGGATACGTAACAACTCGTACATCATTGCTACAAACCATTTTTACAACTTGACTTCAAAATTAATCAATGCAATGCTAGATTCAATTAAGACTTTAAAATTGAATGTTTCCAACTTATTTATACTTGATCATAACAGTATTTTCTTTCGTAAGGGTGTTGTACATCTGTTTTATAATTAAAAAAAAAACCATAAAAAAAACCCCAAAAAAACAAGGGTACACATGAAATGTCTCGCTTTTTTACTAACAATTGATGTTATGTTGATAGACCTAACTATAAAGCTTTACTACAACTATACATAAACTTAACATGATCCAAGAAAATGATGTCAAGGTTATATAAACCGAAGGAGAAATACATGTACACCTTACAATCATTCAATACACTAAATATAGTTGACCTATTGCTGATAGTTTCTATGAAACAGACTTAACCAAAAAAAACAAAAAAAAAAAACTGAAAATGAGGTCAAGGTCAGATGAAACCTGCCAGTTGTACACCTTACCATCATTCCATACACCAAATATAGAAGACCTATTGCATACAGTATAAGAAAATCAGATCAAAACACAAAAACTTTACTATAACCACTGAACCGTGAAAATGAGGTCAAGGTCAGATGACACCTGCCAGTTGTACATGTACACCTTACAATCCTACCATACACCAAATATACTAGACCTATTGCTTATAGTATCTGAGATATGGACTTGACCACACCAAAACTTAACCTTGTTCACTGATCCATGAAATGAGGTCGTGGTCAAATGAAAACTATCTGACAGGCATAGGGACCTTGCAAGGTACGCACATACCAAATATAGCTATCCTATTACTCATCATGCTCATAATGAGAGAGAAATTAACATTACAAAAAACTCTTAATTTTTTTTTCAAGTAGTCACTGAACCATGCAAATGAGGTCAAGGACAATGGTCATGTGACAGGCGGATATTTTGTTACATAAGGCATCTATATACAAAGTATGAAGCATCCAGGTATTCCACCTTCTAAAATATAAAGCTTTAAAGAAGTTAGTTAACGCCGACGCCGCCGCCGGATCACTATCCCTATGTCGAGCTTTCTGCAACTAAAGTCGCAGGCTCGACAAAAAACCAGTACCTTTCAAAAATTCTCCGTTAATAAAGTTAGAAGTTGATCGTAGAGGAAGATGGCTATGTTTAAGGTCCCTTTTAGTTATACAGTTTAATATGGCAAGCCGTTTTACTATTTATTCTAACTTCAAGATATCTCAATAACTTTATAAGATATCTTAAATAGTTAATAAGATATCTTATATAGTTTATGATATATCTTATACATTTTATGAGATATCTTATATACTTTATGCGATATCTTATATAGTTTATGAGATATCTTATAAACTATATAAGATATCTTATAAACTATATGAGATATCTTATAAAGTATATAAGCTATCTTGTATAAAAATATTTATAAGATATCTTATAAACTTTAGGAGATATCTTATACAGTATATAAGATATCTTATATAGTTTATAAGATATCTCATATATTATATAAGATATCTCATATATTATATGAGATATCTTATAAAAAAAGATTATATAAGATATCTTATATATTATATAAAACATCTTATATAGTTTATAAGATATCTCATATAATTTATAAGATATCTTATATAATTTTATTTATAAGATACCTCATAAGTTATATGAGATATCTTATAAACTCTTTAAGATATCTTATAAACTATATAAGACCTATAAACTATATAAGATATCTTATAAAGTATATAAGATATCTTATATAAAATATATCTTTAAGATATCTCATATGATATCTCATATACTTTATAAGATATCTCATCAGCTTTAGAAGATATCTTATAAAGTACATAGGATATTATATAAAGTATATAAAATATTTTATAAACTATATGAGATATCTTGTATAATAAATAAGGTATCTCATATAATATATAAGATATCTCATATAATATATAAGATATCTCATAAAAATTAAATTGTATAAGATATCTTATATATAATATTAGATATCTTATATATTATATAAGATATCTTATATATTATATGAGATATCTTGAAATTCGAATAAATAGCAAAACGGCTTGCCATAGTTTAAATTCTCATACATATGTACACCCTTGTCTTTCAAATTTATGAGTTTAAGCTATCGTTGTGAATTAAATAAAAAAAAAAGCATACCTGACAATCCAAATTCATTTAGTTTTATTTCTAGTTATAGAATAGCCTCTACCCCTCAATGCAAAGGGTGATTGTGAAAGCTGTCCTATCGATTAAACTATCCAATCACACATTGCTTCAACTTATAATCATAAAAATAAAACACTAAAATCAAATGGTACCAACATGAGTTTTGAACTATATGCGCATGTCACAAATTTTAAAACCAAGAAATATTTACCTTGCTGTTTCGCCATGTTTGTAACCGTTGACTTTCCATATATGTCTGGTAATCAAAAGTATGGAGATAATAAGTACAAAGAATGCAACAAATAATTCAGTGCAGTTTCCAACCAGCTGATCAAGCCCACGTATACACCAGGTAGAAAATAGTAAATCGCAGGAACTAAACTTCAAAATGTCAGGTTGGTGCATCATGCTAACTAATGTTAATGTCGTAGCTATAGGTACTATAGTTAACGGAATACTAAAGCCAACCCGCTGACAATTGATTACGCATACAGTTTTTGATGCTTTGTAACAAAGATATTCACAACATATGCTTATAACAGCTACTATGAATGGAGCACGATTCCTGCAGATTGGATTGTTTCCAAATGTGTGATCTCCAAATGCAGTAGTCAATGATGAAATCCCAGAGTTGAAAAGCGACCTCAGAGCCGATGTAGAGTCATTACCTTGGGTCGAAAATATAACCATTACTACAATGAAAGTGACGATTATTTTCCAAAAGCTGACCAGACACGCTACTTTAGTTCTCCCTTTATGCAGTTCCCATTTCATCTTCCGAAGGAACATTGAGCTGTCTCCACCAATAGCAACGAAGTTCTCCCAATACTTAATGGACGTAAAAATGGCCGACATGAAGAACATACCCATCAACCAACCGATTTTTATGTAACGAGCTATTAGAACTATTCCTACGATTTGAAATAGAAATCCAAAAATCGGAAAAGAAAATGAAAGCATCGAAGTCTCCCTGCGTGGAGGAATTTTTGTTTTTTTCTCAGTGCCGTCTTCTTTACTTTCATTTATGGTTTTATCCATTATATCTATCATAGGTGGTATTACTGCAACAGCCAAATAAACAACGGAAGCGGAAGCTGGATCAAATGCAGGCAGTACTAGAAATGCGATTATGGATACTCCAATGGAATGAATCGTTTCTATCAAAAGTACCTAAAATGAGACGAATTAAGACATTACATGACTATACAAAAAATTGAATTGACCGTTCAATCCATCCATAACCTGAAATAGGTAAACTCTGTTCCACGTGAAAACCTCGGCCGATTGAGTATACCTTTAAATGCAGCTGATTTATCTGAGGTGTCGAGGTGTGTCAACTTAAGCACTGCAACGTATGAATGTTGAACAAGGGCGTGTATTTAATGGTCTCTTTTGATTATTTGATATAATATTTTATATATGAGGAGATGTTGTATAATTGCCGATCGATTAGACAACTATCCACCACGGACTAAAGGACAAGAATGTGAACAAATATAGGTCCTCATATGGAAACATTCCAATAAAAAAATCTTCTACCTGTGCAATAACTATTTATTCAAAGCATCACCAAAATTAATATATACAATGTAAGTACGAACTACACTCTTTGAACGTTGACATTAATGCATACATGTAACACAAATTTCTCCTGGACACTGTTTTCAATTGTAATTTCAGTTTTATATATGAAAGTTTGTAGAAAATTCACAAAGAATTACAAATTTCATTCGAAATCACTAATAATCGAGTCATTCGGAAAGAGTTTAACTTATCAGATCGGTATAAGCACAAACACAACAATCGAATAGACAAAAGAGACAAATTACCGACAAATTCCGATCACCTATCACATTTATTGGCACTGTTGATATTTTGAACCGATATACATGTAATAACCGAGTAAGTCAATGCTATAAGTATAATTTATTTTTTTTCACACAATAACGCTGAACACTTTTAGCATACTAGTTAGTTTTCTTTTTTTAATTTTCACATTTTGTCAGACCGGGGACTTATATATCTTACTATACGGGTTTGCTCATTGTTGAAGGCTGTACTGTGACCTATAGTTGTTTACTTCCTCGTCCTTTGACCTCTGTCGTGGATATTTACCTCCTTGAAAATCATACCACACCTCATAATTTTTGTATTATCAAAGTATCGTGAGTGACACGTACTTGCTCACCATCCATACGGTTCAGCTTGTTTTATAATATTCACAAATAAAAAAAGGAGAAGACATCAAAAGGAAAAAAAAAAACAAAACAAAAAACCAAACAAAAAAACTTTCAACTCTTTGACACAAAAAAAATAATAATCCAAATACGAAGAAAGCAAACGTTATATATATATATATAACGATATGTTCCACCATAATACGACACAAACGTACATGTACATGTACCAAGATCTTAAATAATTTTATCAAATAACTTTCCAGTTTTTATTTCTACAGCTATAGAAAAAGATTAAGTTATCTTCAATATCTTTGTTGGAATGGTGTTTCACTGTTTGCCAATATCAGTATTTGGTTTTTTTCCGGTCCAAATAAATGCAAAATTGTAAATTTTTAATGTAACCTTTTTTTTATTTTTTCAAATACGGTTTTCAATAAATATTTTATTATGTACATTGTTTATACTTACCGCTAAAAGAACTCCACAGTTCAACGGTGCATTCGATTTGAAGCATAATCTAAACAATGTTGAGAAAAATGTCAGGAGATACGGTGAAATAATAACGAGAAATAGAGCCCAAATCCAAGTCTTGTCAACTGCTGTAGAATGAGGCGAGCACGTGGTCGTATTACTGGTACTGGTATCGCAGATGGAACAGTTAGAGACCAGGAGACCTCCAAGAGTATTTATCACAGAATCTGATGTTTCTATCGGTGGAGTGATATGCCAAATCAAAATATGCAAAGTGATCCTTGCAATGAAGCAACTTCCAAACACAATGATTAACAGAAAGGTGGCGAAGATAATTTTCAAAATCTTTTCATCCAGTGGATAAGCAGATGACTTAAGTTTAATTTTGAATTTTGGCTTATCGCCCCCATCTTCATCATTTCTGAAACAAAACGAGAAATTATTTAAAACCATTACTAACAGATCATGTAAAATCGTACCTTCAAATGTATTGTTTATATTACTATTACAAGTGTAATATATTTACAAAGTTAACATGAAATTATACTATCTACTTTGGCGGCAGCATGTTTGATCTATAACAGATCATGCAAAATGACATGTAAATGACTTACAAAATACAAAATCTTCCGTTGCCGCCTTCTTTCTTTACTACATGTATGTGTGGCTGTTTTCGAAATTCAACTCTGACATTTAAAACAAGCATCTAAGTCCCGGTAAGGCATGCTTATAATACATAGGCCCGCGGGAAAGGAGATTACTAATATATAGATGATATAGTGCATAAAAAGATAAACTATACTTTTGTACTTCTATAAAGAGTTCATAGACTGAATGAGTAGATGGGTAACAAATGCCGTAAGGAGCAACAAGTAAAGATTTTTTTAACAGAATAAAAATGCACAAAAATGCAGTTTTGTGCGAATGTATAAAAAACAACCTTATGCCATTCATTTTTTTCCCTTACGATCGAATCTATATGTCTATATAAGGCCCCTTTTCTGCTTATCGGTCCTAACGTGTTTTCGTATCTATCCTGCAACCAGCCAAATACTGTACAAATAACAGGTACACAAATAACATTTTGATTTATTTGGATTGGTACAAATAAAGTATCCTATGACTCCTCCTCCATATTGAGAAAACGGTAATGTGAATATTTCTTTTTGTGTGACAGTTCATTTTTGGGTCCTTTTCACGGTCCGTGTTTATACTATGTCGATTTCTTTGAATACTAGTAATCAGAGACAACTATTTTGGATTTAAAAAACGAAGCCTCAAATGACGGGTGTAAATTGCAGGATAAAAACAACTAATGTTCATTGTCAGAAATATAAAATTCATTTATGCTTGCTACGATACAGAAGAAAAGCCCGGCGAGCCTCGTTTATTCGTCATTTGTCTGAAGCTCGTGTTTTCCGACATTGTACATATATTATTAGTTACATGGTGTGTTAGTGACCTAATACGATATATATGTGGTCAGTAAATTCCATATGAGGTGAAAGCGAAGCTCGAATCCCCATATGGAATTTACTGACCCCATATGCATCGTATTAGATCACTAGCACACCGTGTAACGAACTTATCTTACCGACTATCTTCACATGTGGTATTTTGACTAGCGGCCTATCAAAGTGATCAAGTATTCAATACTTAGTATTAAGGTCCTACTTCCATTCATTACATGTATTATAATTACTTCGTCTGTTGAATCCTTTCAGATTTCTTTTTTGTTTTGAAAGGGAAGTAACCCCATTATGCCAACAATAACAACTTGTTAGCTTGACTTATGTTTTATGAACTTATTTCAACGTTTCATCATCAATTTCTTCGTCCATGTCGTCTGTTGAATCCTCTAAGATTTTTCCTCAACACCTTGTTGTTTTTATGAAGGGTTGTGGCATCATTTTTGTTTTGAAAGGGAAGTAACTCCTTACTAACCCTATATGGTAATTAACCATGTATGGTTGCTAACCCTATATTTTTTTTTAGGACACCCTATATCAAATATACATAGTCACCACGTGTAGTCCTTTAACCAATCATATCTCTATAAATCTATAGGAGGTAAGATAACGTATATTATACATCCCTGGAAGTGACAAAGGCCAATAGATATAACTAGTGTCAAGCTATCCATCAATTCTATTCCTGCAATTCTCTTGCGATAAAGCTACCCTGTAATTCGTCATCCTGCAATTGCGTTCGAAAAACAACTTGAGTCACAATTTTATTTTTTTCAAAATCATGGTTTTTGACTGTTTTGTTTGAAAAAAAAAGATAAATATAAAGTTTTTTATATCCCATTCACAAATTTCTAGCTTTAGTTTACAAATTTCTAACTCATCTTTACGGTCTATAACAAGAATTTACAATTAGAAAAATAATGACGATTCACAAAGAGATATATATCTGTGAAGTCCCGGATATGATTTCGTTTTTATGCATGTTTAAGAATTTCTTGTTTAAGCTTTCTTAAAGGCCCATACTTTCGTTCGAAACACGGAAATAAAGCCAAATTCTAAAAAATACTCATTGGGTTTCCCACTTTCCGACCCATTATTTCGGTAGTTCTTTATGGCTAAGGATTATAGACTCTGCTTCAAAGAACAGCTATAATATAGAACTACTACGGGAAGGTAAAGAATTTCTGGGGTAAGCATTCTTAAAGGCCAAAAATTTCGTCCGAAATAAGGAAATAAAGCCAAATTCGATAAAATACGCATTTGAGTACCCACTTTCCGACCCATTGTTTTGGTAGTTCTTCACGGTAAGGGATTTAAAACTCTGCTCTAATAAATAGCTATTGGATATAACTACAACGGGAGGGTAAATATTTGCTATGGTAATTATTCTTAAAGGCCGAAATATCGTCCGAAACATGGAAATCAAGCCAAATTCGATAAAATACGTTCTAGGGTCACCCACTTTCCAACCAATTATCTGGGTAGTTCGTAATTGCTAGGGATTATAGACTCTGCTTCAATGAACAGCTATTGGATAGTACTACAACGGGAAGGTAAAGAATTTCTGGGGTAAGCTTTCTTAAAGGCTTAAAATTTCGTTCGAAACACGGAAATAAAGCCAAATTCGATAAAATACGCTATAGGGTCACCCACTTTCCTACCAATTGTCTGGTTAGTTCTAAATGGATAGGGATTAGAGACTCTGCTTCAATGAATAGCTATTATATAGATCTACATTTGGATAGTAGAGAATTTCTGGGGTAAGCATTTTTAAAGGCCGAAAAATTCGTCCGAAACATGGAAATAATGCAAAAATCGATAAAATACGCTCTAGGATCACCCACTTTCCAACCAATCATATGGGTAGTTCTGAATGGCTAGAGATTATAGACTCTGCTTCAATGAATAGCTAGTATATGGTACTGCATTGGGATAGTAGAGAATTTCTGGGGAAAGTATTCTTAAAGGCCGAAAATTTCGTTCGAAACACGGAAAAAGCCAAATTCGATGAAATACGCATTGGGGTACCCACTTTCCGACCCATTATTTGGTAGTTCTTTATGGCTAAGGATTATAGACTCTGTTCTAATAAATAGCTATTGGATAGTACTACAACGGGAGGGTAAAGAATTTCTGGAGTACGCTTTCTTAAAAGCCTAACATTTCGTTCGTAACACGGAAATAAAGCCAAATTCGATAAAAAACGCTCTAGGGTCACCCACTTTCCAACCAATTGTCTGGGTAGTTCCTTATGGCTAGGGATTAAAGACTCTGCTTCAATGAACATCTATAATATAGTAATACAACGGGAAGGTAACGAATTTTTGAGGTAAGCTTTTTTAAAGGCCGAAAATTTCGTCCGAAATATGCAAATAAAGCCAAATTCGACATAATACGCAGTTCGGTACCTACTTTCCGACCCATTGTTTTTATAGTTTTTTATGGCTAGGGATTATAGACTCTGCTCTAATGAATAGCTATTGAATATAACTACAACGGGAGGGTGAAGAATTTCTGGGGTTAGCATTTTTAAAGGCCGAAAATGTCGTCCGAAACATTGGAAATAAGAAAAATTCGATAAAATACGCTCTAGGGTCACCCACTTTCCAACCGATTATCTGGGTAGTTCTTAATGGCTAGGGATTACAGATTCTGCTTCAATAGATAGCTATTATATAGTTCTACATTGGGATAGTAGAGAATTTCTGGGGTAAACATTCTTAAAGGCGTAAAATTTCGTTCCAAACACGGAAAAAAGCCAAATTCGATAAAATACGCTCTAGGGTCACCCACTTTCCAACCAAATATCTTGGTAGTTCTTAATGACTAGGCATTATAGCCTCTGCTTCAATAAATAGCTATTTAATGGTACTACAACGGGAGGGTAAAGAATTTCTGGGATAAACTTTATTAAAGGGCCAAAATATCGTCCGAAACATGGAAATAATGCCAAATTCGATAAAATACGCTCTAGGGTCACCCACTTTCCCACCAATCATCTTGGTAGTTCTTAATGGCTTGGGATTATAGACTCTGCTTCAATGAATAGCTATTATATAGTACTACATTGGGATAGTAAATTTCTGGGGAAAGTATTTTTAAAGGCCGAAAATTTCGTTTGAAACACGGAAAAAAGACAAATTCGATGAAATACGCATTGGGGTACCCACTTTCCGACCCTTTAAATTGGTAGTTCTTAATGACTAGGGATTATAGACTCTGCTCTAATGAATAGCTATTGATTAGTTCTACAACGGGAAGGTAAAGAATTTCTGGGGTACGCTTTATTAAAGGGCCAAAATATCGTCCGAAACATGGAAATAATGCCAAATTCGATAAAATACGCTCTAGGGTCACCCACTTTTCAACCAATTGTCTGGGTAGTTCATTATGGCTAGGAATTAAAGACTCTGCTTCAATGAACAGCTATTATACAGTTCTACATTGAGATAGTAGAGAATTTTTGGGGTAAGCATTCTTAAAGGCCCAAAATTTCATTCGAAACACGGAAATAAAGCCAAATTCGATATAAGACGCATTTCGGTACCCACTTTCCTACCCATTGTTTTGGTATTTTTGTATGGCTAGGGATTATAGACTTTGCTCTAATGAATAGCTATTGGATATGACTACAATGGGATGGTAAAGAATTTCTGGGGTTAGCATTCTTAAAGGCCGAAAATGTCGTCCGAAACATGGAAATAAGCAAAATTCGATAAAATACGCTCTAGGGTCACCCACTTTCCAACCGATTATCTGGGTAGTTCTTAATGGCTAGGGATTATAGACTCTGCTTCAATTGATAGCTATTATATAGTACTACATTGGGATAGTAAAGAATTTCTAGGGTAAGCATTCTTAAAGGCCCAAATTTCGTTCGAAACACGGAAAAAGCTAAATTCGATAAAATACGCTCTAGGGTCACCCACTTTCCAACCAATTATCTGGGTAGTTGTTTATGACTAGGGATTATAAACTCTGCTTCAATGAATAGATATAGAATAGTACTACAACGGTAAGGTAAAGAATTTCTATGGTAAGCTTTATTAAAGGGCCAAAATATCATTCGAAACACGGAAATAAAGCCAAATTCGATAAAATACGCTCAATGGTCACCCACTTTCCAACAAATTGTCTGGGTAGTTCTTTATGGCTAGGGACTAGAGACTCTGCTTCAATGAATAGCTATTTTATAGTACTACATTAGGATAGTACAGAATTTCTAGGGTAAGCTATTTTAAAGGCCGAAAATTTCGTCCAAAATATGGAAAAAAGCCAAATTTTATAAAATTCGCATTGGGGTACCCACTTTCCGACCTATTGTTTTGGTAGTTCTTTATGACTAGGGATTATAAACTCTGCTCTAATGATCAGCTATTGGATATTACTACAACGGGAGGGTAAAGAATTTCTGGGGTAAGCATTCTTAAAGGACGAAAATGTCGTCCGAAACATGGAAATAATCCAAATTCGATAAAATACGCTCTAGGGTCACCCACTTTCCAACCAATTATCTGGGTAGTTCTTAATGGCTAGGGATTATAAACTTCGCTTCAATGCATAGCTATTATATAGTACTACATTGGGATAGTAGAGAATTACTGGGGTAAGCATTCTTAAAGGCCCAAAATTTCGTTCGAAACACGGAAATAAAGCCAAATTCGATAAAATACGCTCTAGGATCACCCACTTTCCTACCAAATGTCTGGTTAGTTCTTAATGAATAGGGATTATAGACTCTGCTTCAGTGGATAGTTATCATATAGTACTACATTGGGAGGGTTAAGAATTTCTGGGGTAAACATTCTTAAAGGCTCAAAATTTTTTTCGAAACACGGAAAAAAGCCAAATTCTATAAAATACGCTCTAGGGTCATCCACTTTCCAACCAATTATCTGGGTAGTTCCTAGTGACTAGGGATTATAGACTCTGCTTCAGTGAATAGCTATTGAATAGTACTACAACGGGAAGGTAAAGAATTTCTGGGGTAAGCTTTTTTAAAGGGCCAAAATATCGTTCGAAACACGGAAATAAAGCCAAATTCGATAAAATACGCTCTAGGGTCACCCACTTTCCAACCAACTATCTGGGTAGTTCTTAATGGCTAGGGATTATAGACTCTACTTCAATGGATAGCAATTATATAGTACTACATTGGAATAGTACAGAATTTCTGGGGTAAACATTTTTAAAGGCCGAAAATTTCGTCCAAAATATGGAAAAAAGCCAAATTTTATAAAATTCGCATTGGGGTACCCACTTTCCGACCCATTGTTTTGGTAGTTCTTTATGGCTAGGGATTATGCAAACTAAATTTAGAATTTTGTTAATGGGATATAAAAGTCTTTGATTTTCTATATAAATCTTGTTTTCGAACAAAAAAGTCAAAAACTATGATTTTAAAGAAAAAGAAAATTGTCGCTCAAGTAGTTTTCCAAACGCAATTGCAGGATGACGAATTGCAGGATAGATTTTTATAAAGAGAATTGCAGGATGATAATTGCTGGATAGCTTGACACTAGTATAGATATAATCATGATATCAAGTTGCCAAGAAATTAAATATATAAAGCTGGTTAAAGGTATCTTAAAAGAATGTTTACTATAATGGCCTAACCTTATACATATAAAAGATTTTTTACGTTGACCCAGATCACGACACAGATTATAATATGCTTTGTTATATACGTGCATTAATTATAGTCCTTATTTAATGCATTCATTGTTAAAACTAGTTATACATGTAGTTTAGATCTAGATGACAGTTTGTGGTTAAAGTATCACTAAATACAGTAACCAAATACAAAATTTAACAGAACGGTCTATCGAAACCTTGATAAAATAATAGTAAAAGAGAGTCAGAAAATACCAAGAGAGTTTTTCAAACTCATAAGTCAAAGGCCTACTAACAACGGCATAGCAGGTGTGGGACAGTAACCCAAAGACACAAAAAAAAAAACCAAAAGACATCTAGTCAGAGATCAACATACCTTAAAATTACTAAAAATCACCAATTATAAGCAATCAAATAATCAATCATAAAAAGAAATTGAGAAGAATTATGAGATAACCCACATCAATGAAACAGTACTATTGGCTGTTCTCTATCTCAACATTTGAAACCGCCTTGGTGGTATTGGAGTAGCGTGATTGCCATTGGAACTGAAGGCCGTGGATTCGATCCATGGCTGGAGCATTACAAAATAAGACTTATAAATTTGTATAAGATCTGATTTTCTGGTATTTTTAATTATTGAAGAGATATTTTACAAGTGATGAGTAGAACACTTGAATGAGTTTAAGTACACTAAAGTCAAGACACCTTTCTTGTGCCGACTTGTAGGTACTATTCAAAGTTCATCAGTTATAATTTCATATTTATATGGCAAAATGCAGTTATCAATTGACTATATGAAACAACTGTCATAGTATTTTGTAGATCTTGTCATAAGTTGCACGTCAAAATTGATGGTTGTGCGATCACAGAAAAGGCTAATAAAAAAAATGTTTAAATGTTTTATAGCTAACAACTCTAACTAACTTTCAGCTATCTTAATCTATACTAATTTGATTTATCACACCAAGGATACTTAAAGTTTACCCTTTTGAGTCTGCTTTCAGTGTTTTCTCCAAGACATCTACATTAAAAATTCTACTCGTCTGTGTTTTAATTTCAGATTTATCTGCCATATCACACGAAACTATAAAGGAAAACATTATATATAGATAAACAAATTTAAACATACTACAACATGTCAGAAGTACTCAAAGAAAAACCCACTTATATAACAGTCATTTGCTGTCTTGTTTATTTAATTCAAATAATATTCCTTTATGAAGAATTTGTTGAAGATTGTATGCTGACCTTTTAATTATTGTACATATTGTTTTTATCTTTGGTTTGCTGTCTCACTGACGTATAACCTGCATCTTCTTTTTTCATAGCGCTAAATGTATTTTGACGGTAACAACACTTTTTCACCTTAAATACACCACATAAGGAGATGTGGTCTGATTGCTAATTAAACAAGTGAACTATCCACAAGTTGCAAATCATTTTACATGTATAGAATAAACTTGTTCAATCCCACCACTTCTTGTGCCTTTAGTCAGGCTGAGTATCTTGACCTTGTGTTGAAGACGCATTGGAGACCTTGGGCTGTTTTCTGCTCTTTGGTCAGGATGTTGTCTCTTTGACACATTCCCCATTTCCATTCTCAATTTTATCTTGTTTTGATCGTTGTTGTTTGTCTTTGTGTTAAGGTCTATTTTGTCGGAGGAGTCGGTATTGGTGGTTGATGTGCCCTGTTTGATTGTTTTATATATTTTTTGTAACTCATGTTATCCTTATCAAATATAAAAGACATATGATTTTATTACCCTACTGATCATGTAAATTAAAAACGAATCACAGTCTATAAATATATGATATTGAGATGTTGTCAGTGTGTAGGTTCAGAACAAAACAATCATATATACATACAGGCGCGTAGCCAAGTATTTTTAAGGAGAGAGATGGAAAGGGGGGAGGAGGAGGAGGGGGGGGGGGGGGGGGGGGGGGGGGGTTCATCGACTCGCGATAACCAAAATCTCAACTTTAATAGTCACAATTCAAACAGAACGTTAACTTTAATAGTGCTTATTTGTTTTCAAAGGGGGGTTCGTACGAATTTCTCGAACCACATGGCTACGGGCCTGATATATGACATTAAAATATAAATAAAAGGGGATGAGGGATATACGTCGATGATACAGGAGCCCAGTACACAAATAACCTTAAGACCTTTAGAGGTCAATATATAGTCTTCAACAATAGACTGATGTATATGAGACAATATCTGAAAAAGTCTAATTTCCATGTTCCAACTTTCACCAGCAATTATATTTTTATTCAGGCATCTTTTTGGAAAATTTTAAGTTTCAGTATTAACTAAAGTATATTATGCACCAACTATTACCAATTAAACACTCTTTCTTATATTTCTTCTAATAAAATATTATAATTTAAATGTTCAACTCCCCAAAAAATCATGTTGTCCGGGGTTGTTTTCTGACAACAAAATCATTCAAAGAATATCTAAATTAAGTAAACAGGCTTCCGATTTTCACAAATATGATAGATTATATAGAAAACTTGTCCCTTAATGGTCTGATTTTGTTATAGCTAAAGCATGTGATAAAATCTTACATTTTTAAGGGTCTTTTAAATTTTGTCCCAAGGGGTAATTTCCCTCCTGTTACCACTGGGTTTTTTCATCTGTGGAAACGTTTGAAAGACCAAGATTTTATTTCTTGTAATGCAATGAGAAGAGCATCATTTCCTGAACGTATGACTCCATATGTATAGGCAAATAGCAGCCAGTTTGAAAAATCCGAACACACCAAAAATCAGAATTTAGAGAAAAATAATTGTGTTGTTCTCTCCTGTTACAGCCTTTTTGTGTACCTTCTGAGAATATTTCATTGTCAGCACTATAACAGTAAATGTGTTTTTATAGTATCTTATTAAATTGATATGTAGATGGAAGTAAACATCTACACAATTCGAATAAAAGGACAAAAATTACTGTGTAATTCCTTTCTGTTATATTCTGTCATGTTACCTGATAAAAAGTAACAGCATAACCATAATAAGTAACAGGAAAGATGTTAAAGACAATTTCACTGATGAATCACAAAGTTAATCTACTATATGTCAAACATTTCATTTAATATAAGTTATGATCATCATATTAAATAAATCTCAACATAGTATACAGTATATTGAATGAAAAGACAGGTTTTTTACTTTTGATAACAGCAGAAAACATTGTGCAATTCTAGTATAGTAGATGGTAACAGAAAGGAATTTATTTTAGAATTTTTCATTACCTAGGCACATTTTTCATCTTGCAAATACAGTTTCAAAAGATAAATTATATTGTTTGCTGTTATCTTCCAATTGTGACCAATCTGAAATGATGTATTTTTCTTAAACTATGAAATAAAGCAATTGTTTTGGAAAAAAAATCCTTCCTGTTACCAACTCTGTCCTGTTACTTGTCCTGTTACTCAAGATTCTTTCATGTTACCGACATATCGGACTATATTTTAGTATATTTCTTAACCTTTTGTATTGCAAATGCTAATTTAAAAATAAATAATTGGCATTTGATAAACTATTGCAGGTTATACTAGTAAACCACAAATAGTATCTTAAACTTATTCCTTATTCCCATTAGAAACTTTTTAAAATCAATTCACTTTGGTACATGTAACAGGAAAGAACCGGAATTTTTTGTACCATTTTTAAAATTGCCATTGTTACCACATTTAACAAATGTTTGAATTACAGACAACAGTTCCTAGATGTGTGTTCTTCGATTTCTGCTATTTAAATACCCGTTCTAAAGACATTTTTTTTTGGTTTTCCTATTGCCAAAAAAAATAGACTTTTTCAGATACTGAGACTATCAAAGACCTGTCTTCCATACTCGTCCCTCCAAAAGAAACAACAACAATTGTTTTCAGATGGTAGATCACTGTTGTTGTGTGATGGTTTAGGTGGTCGGTCACTGTTGTTGTGTGGTGGTTTAAATGGTCGGTCACTGTTGTTATGTGGGGGTTTAGATGGTCGGTCACTGTTGTTGTGTGGTGGTTTAGAACTTATATTAAGTAATTTAAGACTCTGTTGATCGTCGTTGAAATATTTCTCGTATTTTGTTTTTTATATTATTCATAACTTAAATTTAGGACTGTAAAATCATAATTAGAATATAGTATCAAGAGATGGAAGAGGTTGACCGGTTCATGCTTTATGTTTGAGATACGATTTTAAAAGTCATATTTTATTTCTAATATCAATTTCAGTTACTTCTCTATGTAAATTGAAAAGCCTTAAGGATGTATACTAGTCAACAAAAGAAACGATACAACACTTTAAACAAAAACAATATTTTACTGTTTAGTAGAAAACAATAACAAATAGATAAAATATGTTATTTTAAGGTTCTACGTGACACAGTAACAAAAAACAAAACCGTCCCAGACAGTTCCTGGACCGAATACGGACGGATCAAAGTTATTATCCGGAATTTCAGTTTGCGGAATTTGATAGCGAGTATGAACGCCACCCGCAGCTACATGTACCACAGCTTCACACCTACGACGCATATATCCAATCAAAGTCATAATGTTGGCTTGTTGGATATTGTTCCACTCCTGTAGGAGAGAAAAACGAAAACCTTGTAGCGTTTCCGGTGGACTTTGCCTTTCTCGAACACGTCTGCCAAGTCGATCCCATAAATGTTCTATAGGAGAAAGATCCGGTGATAATGCTGGCCACGGGAGAACGCGAATATGGTTTTGTTCAAGATAATCCAAAAAAATCCTTGCCACGTGACATCTAGCGTTATCCTGTTGGAAAACATGGTTGAAACGGCGTTGTCGAATAAAAGGCAGAACAATAGGGCCAAGAATTTCATCCCTATATCTCAAAGCGTTCAAGTTACCATCAACGATTTTTAACTGTGTGCGTCCGTTGTAACATATTCCACCCCATTCCATCACACTTCCGCCTCCGAAACGATCCGTTTTAATAATACAAGGGTCTGAAAAACGTTCACTTTGCCTACGGTATACTCTCATGCGTCCATCACTAAACACGGAGAGCAAACCGGAACTCAGCTGTAAACAGGATATGCTGCCAGGTGTGTAACCTCCAACGTCGTCTTGCACGAACCCATTCAAGTCCTGCAGCCCCTATGGCGCTGTTTAAAGAGCGGCCCTTTCGGGATACGTCTTGGACGCAGTCCATGCGCTCTGAGTCTTCGACGAACTGTCTGACCCGAAATTCTGTTGTTGTGACGACCAGGTATTCCTCGGGCCGTATTTCCGCATTTAATGTACAGTAGCGCAAGTGTAAAAGACGTATCGCGCAGTGTTGACGTTGTGACGTCTCATTGGGTCTGCCGCTACGTGGTCTATCATTTGTTGAGCTAGTTTGCCTTAGACGAATCGTCAGTCTAGATATTTTATTCTTGCTACATGAAAATGATTTGCGACGTCAGCGTGCGTCATCCCAGCTCTGACCATGCCAATAGCTTGTTCACGGTCATTTTTGAAAAAAAGAATAAACAGATGCTTTTTGGCGTTGAATACAGAAATAAACTTATACAGAAACTTTAAATTGAAAAATATAAAAATATTGACAACATTAACTTTGTATCGTTTCTTTTGTTGACTATTATAAAATTAAAATATCAAAATTGCACTTTATTTTTTAAAACTTTTACTAACACAATTAAAAAAATATTTGTAGAATGTCCAAATGAAATTTGCTATGGATAAACAAAGAAGTTAAAAACTTGTCTTTTTCATGATTTTGTTGTGTAATTATAAAGTAGAATGACTTCCTTTAAAGTGCCATCAGAGATTTGCTTATTTTTGTATTTACATTAGCAAGAATCAGGGTCTCAACTTTATGTCGTTAAATTTATCACATGATCAAAGGCAAAAATGAAAAAAATATTGTAAATTGTGAATTTCTTCTAATTTTGTATTTATCTGAAGAATTAGCAGTGATTTTTTTTTCGCTTACACCTTAACTCGATATAAAAACAGTGAAAAGTCACTGTATTGTCATGAGTAAAACATTAGCGGGACCTGTATGTATTGAAAACAAATTCAAGTTCCCTTTTTGTGAAGCTACTTGTAATACTTGTGACGAAACATAGCAGAAGACGCCGACCCTGTCGACACATGCCGGTTTTTCTCCGTTTGGTGTTCACGCGATCTTCTTGCTTAGCGTTTTCAAAATAAACTTTTCATAGATACCAGGATTAAAATTGTGTACGCCAGACGAGCGTTTCGTCTACAAAAGACTCATCAGTAACGCTCTAATAAAAAAAGGCCAAAGAAAGTACGAAGTTGAAGAGCATTGAGGACACAACATTCCGAAAGGTTTTGCCAAATACATGTACAGCTAAGGAGATCCATTCCTGGGGTAGAAAATTCTTAGTATTTCAAAAATTCAAAGTTTTGTAAACGGCTAATTTATAATTTTGACTGTATCGATGATAATGCATGTCAACACAGAAGTGCTGACTACTGGGCTGGAATGACTTTTGTTGATCGATATATTACCTTTGTTTCTTATTTAAAGTGCAGTCAGCAAACACACATACTGTTTTCAATGTTTGTTGTAAATTTTATTTGATCTATCATTTAATATTTTCAATATGAATTGTGTAATGTTATATTATATACATATAATACAGGGAGATGTGTAGGTATATAACAGTTGATTTAAAGATCCGAAAACAAATATATGACACTGCATTACTAAGTTACATGCACATATATTATCTTCAATGATCCATTTAAAAGCATAAAGACATGATTTTGTATATAATCATACATTCAATCGGTTGTTTTATGTAACCGAATATGTTCGTATCTGTAGATAATTTATATGGATGAGGTTGAATATTAACTATTGTAAATAAAGGCAACAGTAGTATACCGCTGTTCGAAATTCATAAATCGATTGAGAAAAAAAACAACTCCGGGTTACAAACTAAAACTGAGGGAAACACATCAAATATAAGAGGAGAACTACGACACAACAGAAAGACAACATTAAAATGTAACACACACAGAAACGAACTATAATATAACAATGGCCATTTTCCTGATTTGGTACAGGACATTTTAAGAAAAAAATGGTGGATTGAACCTGGTTTTGTGGCTAGCCAAACCTCCCGCTTTTATGGCAATGTTAAATATAACAAGTAAATAACGTTGAAAGTATACCAGTTATATGTCATAGCTTCCTTTGAATATATTCTGACTTTTTGAAAACTGTGAAGATATCTACATTATTTTAATATCTATATATTAACCATGTCACTGCTATATTGATTATTCTTTCTTTTGTTACTTACAATATACGTTCTAAGTAGGGAACATGATACGTGGAAAACAAAATAATTACTACAAGATCATTGGTTATATTATTTTCCGTAGCTCCAAGGAAGTATATAGTTTGTTTTGAAACCAGAAACCAGTAGATTAATTATCTTTCAGTACTATGTACTTGTACTTGTACACGTATTAAGATATTTGTATAGGACACCACGCAAACACAAAAAAAAAAGGCATGGACAATTATCAAGGAACGACCATTTGATTTTCGGGGTGGGGGTGATTTTGAAAATGAATATCCTGGCCTGGTAACCTTGCAGAACACAGGATGAAATTGGTTCTGCAACACCAAATACAGGGAAAAAATGTGTACAAAAGGGAAAGTAGATTTTCGTGCTGCCGTAAAAAATAAGCATGCGTAGCAACCCCCCTTTTAATAGTACTCTTTACTTGCAGTTGTCGTCACCTAATAGTACTCTTATACTAGTACATATAAGATCATTTCGTGATATTAAATTTAAAAATTTGATACTTTGAAGATCACTCCGTTTTTGCTTTCTTTTTCTTTTTAAGTTTAACCATCTTGACTAAACTCTTTTTCTTTCTTTTATTTATAGCACCTTTGATATCTTCCGTAATGTAATGGTACCTTTGTATAGATTAGTTATGTTCTATTTACAACGGTAAAAATGGCCAATTTGATAATTTTTGTGGATTTCTCGTCAGTTTATTTATACATCAGGTTAGGGTGAAGGTTGGCGCCTGTTAAAACGTTTAAACTCGCTGCATTTTTGTGCACCTGTCCTAAGTCAGGAACCTGTTTCAGTAGAGTTGTCGTTTGTTGATGATGTTCTTAAGTGTTTCTCGTTTCTCGTTTTTTACATAGATTAAACTGTTGTTTTTTCCAGTTTGAATTGATTTACATTTGGGGGCCTTTATAGCTTGCTGTTCGTTGGGAGCCAAAGCTCCGTGTTGAAGGCCGTACTTTGACCTATAATTGTTAACTTTTTACACATTGTGACTTGGATGGATAGTTGTCTCATTGGTACTCATACCACATCTTCTTATATCTATATACATGTAAGTTTATACCATGATAACACTTATTCCTTAGTTATGATAACGTTATCAAATCTAGTTTATATAAATAGATAACGAGACAACAGTAGTTTATTATTGCTCTAAAATCAAAACAAAATAACAAATAAATGGAGACTGCAAATGATGCCCCCGCATGCATATAACGTTATAAAGGGTATAACTCTTATAACTTTTATAACGGTAAAAGTGACGCTGCAGCCAAATTCGAAATTGGTCTGTATTTTGTAGTAATCAGCATTGTGTATAAGTTTCATAACATTTGTTTGAGGCAAACTACATTTACAGAACGGAAACCAATGTTGGGACGGCCGTACGAGCGGACAAGGGTAACACTTAATGCCCCCTTCGGCGACGGCGGGACACAAAAAAACATGACAAAACAAGACGGAACACGTACGAGAATTGTGTAAAAGAAAATGTAGCTTCTATTTGATGAAAGGGACTGAGACTCGAAAGGGAAATAAAGTCTGTTGTAATGTACCAGTAGAATTATAAACTATATAAAAACAAGATGATGTGGTATAATTGCCATTGAAACCACTCTCTGCCAGTTTAACTAGTCCAAATACACAACAAAACAAATAATCTCTATTAGTTACATTGAATTTAGTACTATCTACTTGTGTATGTCTCCTAATTTATTTTGAATTTCGAAAACATAATAAAATGGCTTTGTATTATTTTATCATTTGTAAAGATTTTGGTTTCGTTTGGCTTTCTTATACGACAATTATCAAAGAAAATGTATATACAAATCATATATTTCAATGGCCATTTAAAAAACAAATTCAACTAAAAATCATTCTTAAATCTGATAACAAAGAAACTAATAATTCAATAAATGTATATCAAATTAACTTTCATTTCTGAACCAAATCAATAAACAAGTAAAGTTTTCTACACAAGTTCAAGTACTGGATGTTTCGAATACTTACATTACGAACAAATATTCCAAAATTATTAGGCTATTCCGTTTTACACGAAGTAGAATGCATATATTTACATGTTAGCAGCGATATACATTGCGGGTAGTTTTAAATATACCTTGCTATCTGATATCTGATTTGCATTGAAATGTCTTTACTCGACCAATTGATTGATTTTTAAATACTTTTTGAAACAGTTCTTTCCTTAGATTTTATTGTTTTACGGAAGGAGTGCATACTACTGCAACATAACAATGAAATGTAGTTTTTCGTTCATTATTTTGTACATAAATCAGGCCTTTAGTTTTCTCGTTTGAATTTTTTTACATTTGTCATTTCGGGGCCTATTATAGCTTACTATGCGGTATGGGTTTTACTCATTGTTGAAGGCCGTACGGTGACCTATGGTTGTTAATTTCTGTGTCATTTGGTCACTTGTGGAGAGTTGTCTCATTTGCAATCATACCACATCATTCTTCTTATTTATATATATATATATATACGTGTGTCTTTTTATGTTGTAATGTTACACTACTGTCTCAAGTTAGGGTGAAGGTTGACGCATGTTAAAACGTTTAAACCCGCTGCATTTTTATGCACCTATCCTAAGTCAGGAGCCTGTTGTTCAGTGGTTGTCGTTTGTTGGTATGGATCATATGTGTTTCTCGTTTCTCGTTTTTGTCGAGCCTTCGACTTTTGTCGTAAAAGCGAGACATAGCGATCCTACATTCCGTCGGCGTCGTCGGCGTCGTCGTCGTCGTCGTCGTCGGCGGCGGCGGCGTCCACAAATATTCACTCTGTGGTTAAAGTTTTTCAAATTTTAATAACTTTCTTAAACTATCATGGATTTCTACCAAACTTGGACAGAAGCTTGCTTATGATCTTAAGATAATATTCAAAAGTAAATTTTGTAAAAAAAAAATCCATTTTTTCCGTATTTTACTTATAAATGGATTTAGTTTTTCTGCCAGGAAACATTACATTCACTCTGTGGTAAAAGTTTTTCAAATTTTATTATTTTTCTTAAACTATCCTGGATTTGTACCAAACTTGGAAAGAAGCTTGTTTATGATCATAAGATAATTTTCAAAAGTAAATTTTGTAAAAAAAAAAAAATCCATTTTTTCCGTATTTTACTTATAAATGGACTTAGTTTTTCTGCCAGGAAACATTACATTCACTCTGTGGTTAAAGTTTTTGAAATTTTAATAACTTTCTTAAACTATCCAGGATTTCTACCTAACTTGGACAGATGCTTGTTTATGATCATAAGATAGTATCCAGAAGTAAATTTTGTAAAAAAAAAAAATCCATTTTTTCTGTATTTTACTTTTAAATTTACTTAGTTTTTCTGTCAGTTAACATTACATTCACTCTGTGGTTAAAGTTTTTAAAATTTTAACAACTTTCTTAAACTATCCTGGATTTGTACCAAACTTGGACAGAAGCTTGTTTATGATTAAAAGCTAGTATCTAGAAAGATATTTTGTTAAAATTTTGTTCCATTTTTTCCGTATTTTACTTATAAATGGACTTAGTTTTTCTTCCAGTTAACATTACATACAGTCTGCAGTTTAAGTTTTTAAAACATTTATTAGATTCATAAACTATCCTGGATTTTTACCAAACTTGGACAGAAGCTACTTACAATCAAAAGATAGTATAGAGAGGAATATTTTTATTAATTTTTTCCTCATTTTTGTTGAGCCTGCGATTAACAGCAAAAGTAGGCGAGACACTGGGTTCCGCGGAACCCTTACAAATTTTATTTATATAGATTACACCGTTGGTTTTCCTGTTTGAATTGTTTTACACAATAGTCATTTTGGGGACCTTTATAGCTTGCTGTTTGGTGTGAGCCAAGGCTCTGTGTTGAAGGCCGTACTTTGACATATAATTGTTAACTTTTTATACATTGTGACTTGGATGGAGAGTTGTCGCATTGGCACTCATACCACATCTTCTTATTTATATTGTATGTAATGTCAATCCAATTGATTGATTGATTAGTTGATTGATTGATTGATTGGTTGATTGATTGATTGATTGATAGTGGGCAATAGATGTTGCAGAAATATCAAGTTTTGACAAAAATGGCATCATCACAATTCAAACAAACTTTTATAACCGACTATACGGTATGGGTTTTTCTCAATGTTGAAGGCTGTACTGTTGTCTATAATTGCTTACATCCACATCATTTGAACTTGGGTGGATAGTCGTCTCATAATTATTTATGAGATTTTGTAAATATAGTTTATTATATTTAGATAATACAATTACACGTATATGAAAAAATATCCATTCTTTTAAAAGTGAATATTTTAAGAGTTTAGCTTGAGATAGTTACTAAATCAAGTTCGAAGAATAATGCCATTCTACACTCTTGCATCAGTAGCTGTACTTCAGAAGAGATTTCATACAACAACATTATAAAAGAGTACTGGGTTGCACGATCTTTTACAATGCATAGACTATTTTTTGTACATATCAAAATTCATCAACAAAAAATGAAGAACATTCAAGACTTCACAGGGTGGTATTTATTGACAAATAACATTCAGTTGTAAAATGCATGGGCACTTTTGAAAATATTTTTGGTAAATGTTGAACGGTCCATTCAACGCAGGTTACCGAATACCGACAGTCATTCATCAAATGAACTTTACAATTTTGTTATTGGTATATCAAATGAACTTTACAAATTTGTTATTGGTATTAGAGAATGTACGGCTCTTATGGTGCTGATTTTTGTCTCTCCTGCGACGAAAGTCGCGGAAAGCGACACATATAGGGATTGCTTTTGCGGCGGCGATGATGATGGCATCAACAATTGCTAAATTTTCTGCTTAAGTTAGTTTGATAGGAACTACTTGTGATAGACCAATGATATTTTGTATGAAGTTGCATTACTATCAGTACATATTAGTTTGACGACTATTTTGAGGCACTGCCTCCTAGGTCAGGGTCCAGTGACTTTGAATTAATTAGCAATTGTCAGTGTTAAGTTTTCTGCTTAAGTTAGTTTGATAGGAACTCCTTGTGATAGATCAATGATATTTTGTAAGAAGTTGCATTACTATCAGTACAAATCAGTTTGCTGACTATTTTGAGGCCCTAACCCTCGGTCATGGTGTAGTGACATGAAACTAATTAGCAATTTTCAATGTTAAGTTTTCTGCTTAAGTTAGTATGGTAGGAAGTACTTGCGATAGATCAATGATATTTTGTATAAAATTGCATTATTGTCAGTACAAATCAGTTTGACGACTATAGTGAGGCCCTGATCCCTAGATCATGGTCCAGTGAATTTGAATTAGTTACCAATTTTTTATGTTAAGTTTTCTGCTTAAGTTAGTTTGATAGGAACTACTTGTGGTGAATCAATGATATTTTGTATGAAGTTGCTTTACTATCAGTACATTTTAACATTTTACTATTATAAGGCCCTACCCTCTAGATCATGGTCTGGTGACTTTCAATTAATAACCAGTTTTCAATATTAAGTTTTCTACTTTAGTTAGTTTGATAGGAACTACTTACAATTGACAATTATATTTTCTATAAAGTAACATTACTGTTTGTACATCTCAGTTTGTTGACCATTTCGAGGCCCTGCCCACTAGTTCATGGAACAGCGACTTTGAATTAGTTATCAATGTTAATGTCCATTGGATTGTCTTTTCTGAATTTTATGCCGACAGACGAGACATATCTCCGTGTCAACAGTTTAATTATGTTCTTTCGTAATCTTATGCTTTTCCACTGATCGCAATTAAATAGTACAAAAACTATTTCAACCAGTGTTCCAAGTCAGGAAGAACCTTGCTTGTTTTTGTTATATCGTAATTTTTTGTTTGTTTATGGAATTTGGTATTGTGTGAATATCTTTGATGGTCTCTGTTTTTTTTTTTACTTCATAGTTAAAATTTGAAAAAAGGGTAATCAATATCTTAACAATTAATTAATTGAATATTGTTTGCTTAACGTCCAGTTACAAATATTTCATGCATGTTCGGGGCGAGTATATCTTAACGACGACCTACCCATTAAATTATAGAAGGTGGACAATGTTTGCTTTACCGGCCAGTTACAAATATGTCATGCATGTTAAGGACGAGTACATCTTAACGACGACCTTCCCATTAAATTATAGAAGGCGGACAATGATTCACTGAACGTGAAACATTTTCAAATAAAATCTATTGAAATGATCGACCAGGAAGTGCCTGAACAAACATTACATAATTTTTCAACAGCAAAACCGGTATTGAGATTAGGCAATTGAATTGGAAAGTTTTAAAAAGATTTAATCACTTTTAATTAAAAAGTATATAATGATAAGTAGTGCAAGCTTAGGGTAATTTTCTTTTTAATGACGTATATCTATCTGTAACCTCTGCAAGCTTATTATGATGACAAGTAATCTCATTAAATACGTATATCATAATATAATCAAATCTAAAATCTACGGAAGCCAGTAATTGTCAGAGTGTAATTTTATTTTAAGTCGTTATAACGAGATAGTTAAGTCGTTATAACGAGTTACTTAGTTGTTTTAACGACTTAAAATAAAAAATCCACCATGACACAAACCGGCGTCCGTATTACATATGTGATGTTATCGCACCTCGAGTAAATAGTAATGAATCCGTAGGGGGTCAGTAGATTTCATATGGGGTGTCATGGTGGTGATGTCAGTTGAGATATGCCTCTTGGAATTTTCAGAATATATTGTAAGTGCATTACCCTATCGATTTATATTTCACAAATTAAATAATTATTTTGAAGTTGTCCCTCGTTGATCCGCAAAAAAGATCAGTCCTTTATCAACAGTAATCTCCCGTTTCAAACAACATGTGTAGTTACATTTTCGTCTGTAACAAAATGGAGAGATTCGGGACGTCAAGACATTGATGAGAATTCATTCTGGAAAGACTCAAAAAAAAAAAAAAATCACAATCTGCAATCAAGGAATATTTATAAAGCAAAAATCATGAGGCTGACTTTGAGAATTTTTTCATACAACGTTATCTTATTTTTACCCTGATGCTAGGAAAATAGATGGGTCCATGTATAAAACTTTTTCCTTGGAATCAATTCGACATGGCTTAAATCGCCATTTTAAAGGACCTTCAAACAACAAGGACTTTGA